AAGACACGTAAAATTAAATTACATTAAAAAATAAAGTACCAGGAAAAGTAAAGAAAGGGGTAACAACAGTCAATGAAAATAGAAATCCAGATCGTCAGAAACTTCATAATTCGTCGTTTTCCGGTAGACTCGTTCACTTATGTTTCTGTTCTCTCTGTCAATTTCCCCTTCCGTCTTCATGCTTCGCTCTATTTATAGATGTTCTTTAATGTAACGTCGTACGAGTGGTTAAAAAATCACTACCACGTTCCATGTGCACATTTAACTGTCTCTCGATTTCCACCTTAGCCACGGTATAGAAAACCGCTTCCCATGTTCCATGTGCGTGTTAACCGTTCCTCGATTTCCAACTTAGCCACAATTTAGAAAATCGCTTCTCATGTGTCCATGTGCACTTTAACCGTTCTCTCGATCTCGACCTCAACCATAGAGTATTTTAAATTGTTTCTGACTTCCCACTTAGTCTCACACTCGATACCTATAATCGATTTTTTACTTCCCAATCATGTTCATCGAATTTCTTGTTTTCTTTTTATTCAGACTCTCGATTTTCCTTAATACAAGGTAATCAAATTTCTCTTATCCATTTTCGATTTAAATTCTCAATTTTCCTCAACACATAGTCATCGAATTTCTCTTATCCATTTTCGATTTAGATTCTCGATTTTCCTCATTACATAGTCATCGAAATTTTTCTTTTAATTTTTGATTTTTTCCCATCAACATAAACACACTGTAGAAAGAAAAAATAGAAAATCAACGATACAAAATGTATATATTTATTTCATGAATATACAGTCTACAACTTCATAAACAAAGGACATGTCGTTATTATAATAAAATAAAAAATAAAAAATTTATTTACACTGAGACATACTTATTTAAATTTATAAGCACAAACCAGACTTGTAGTACAATATTACTTAGTGCAACAATAAATATAATTTTCTCCTACTTTCAATTGAATAATTGTTCTATTGATTAATAAAATATAATCATATTTTTCTACTTTCCTTTATATTTCCTTCGAGTTAGATTAAGAGAATTAACTTATTTAACCTAACACTTGTATTATTGATAAATACACAAGTTAGTTTATCACAACTAAACAATTTGAATAACAAAATGTATTTTAAGATTACATGAATTAGATGAAAGCCTTTGTAATCCAACGAATTTAACTAAGAGTTGATCCAGATAATATAGTTAATTATGATGATTTTTCGACCCATTTATAAAGAAGAATTTCTTAATATAAAATCCTTAAAACCAATCATCTTCGCCGAAGGAATCACACACACTTCCAAGGAAAAATAATAAATGAAACACAAATCACATCAAATAAACGTGTTATTTATTGTATATCTTAATTTTTGTCATAACGATTATCAATAAAAAAATCTATAAATATATTGTAGGACAATATGGGAGTAACCATGAAAGTATATTTGCTAAACCTATAAGATCATATGATATTATTTTCAATAAAAACCTTAATTCATCATTTCTATATTATTTAAATCGACCATTAAGATAAGTTGTCGACTATAATATCTTATTATAAAGTGATTTAACTTTATTTTTATATTATTTCTAGTCACTACTAAAAGTCTTCATGAATTTTTATATTTTTTTAATACAAATTATAAGAAATACGTTTTTTACAATTTTTAAATTAATTTTTAATAGTGCATATACTTAAAATTTCGACATTTCTTAATGCACCATCTCATCAAATATTATTACATTTATAAGTAAATCACGTAATAAATGACATTTTAATGGATCTAAAAACCCTAATGGCATGTAAGAAAATAAATCAATAAAAGATGTCATGATATCAGTATTTAATATTATAATAAATGAACAACTTTTCTACTTAACTATTTTTTCTTCAATATTTATTCAGGTATTGTTTGATATAATATAATAAAACGTCTCCTACTTTATACTATAATTTAACATAATAAAAAAAAAACTTTGCTTTCATTTGTCGATATTTATTTTTTTTATTATTTGATACAATATAGTAAAAACTTTTATACTCAATACACACGAACACTTGTAGGTTTATTTTTTCTGTATTTTATTTAAGGTGTTAATTTGTTCTATTTTGTCAATCATGCTTCTCGTATTTTGATTGTACGGTAGTTCTTTGGGTCAATTTTTATTACACCATACCGTGAATAACTTTCGCCAAATTATTGTCCACATATTCAAAAAACTTCATTATTTCTTCATTTGTTTTTCTTCAATAATAAATGAAGGATGATGCTTCTTGTCAAAAAGTGTATAAAAGAAAGTCACAACATTAATTAAAGTGAGGAAGCATTGTATAAAAATTACTTTTTATAAAAATAGTCTTTTAATAAGAGATTTGGGTTAATTATGATATGTTGAAGATATTATTCATTTTAAAATTATTATTATTATTATTATTTTGTTTTTAAAATACGTATCAAATAAATTAAAAGAGAAAAATATATAAATTATTATTGAATTTAATTTTTAAAGTGTTATGAATATATCAGAATATTAATACTTTTTAATATATTTATTAAGAATATCAAGAATAACCTCCTAATATTTTAACTAAAATAAAACCAAAGATAATAAGAAGATAAAAAAGATTTAAATTTTATTTTGGTTAATAAAAATATTTCTGTTTTTATTATGTATGTTTATAAATTTAACGATCTTTGTTTCAAACTTGATGTCAATTTACAAGCATTTATGGCTAAAAATGCATCAATGTTTTGAAGTTATCTTTTACCTATCGTCTACCTAATAAGAAAATACACAATTTTTGAAAAAAGATTTGTAAAAATGATTTGAAACTCAACTTGACACCTAAACTATATTTCTCTGAGCTTTGTCAAATTGGTTTAACGTTACATGTCACCATGGATACAGTTCGTGGAAAATGTGGAGGTAAAATTGAATCTTGACAACATTGAAGATGTAATAAATGATGTGGTGATTTTACAGGTGTATTATGTTTTTTCTCCTTTGCCTCTTCGTACCGTATTTCTGGGTGTAGAACGAAACCATGGCCTGGAATTTGACACTTGTGTTTCTTGCAGTGCAATGAATGTAATGATAAAAAAAAAGTGTTGATAGTAAAAATGGGCGAAGAAAAAATAAAAGTGTGAAGGAGGAATATTTAGGGATTGAGAAAAAGCGAAAGAAAAGAGATTTGGTGACGGGACATAACAGTGTACAGTAGAAGGTAGTGGTATAGCTACAGTTGCAGTACATTCCTTTTATTGGTCGCTGTCCAAGTCGTACGTAGATGTTGCAAGTAGCAATCGCACCGTCCAATTCAACCAACTGACTCACTTTGCACAACAATATCAAACTCATCACATCTATTCTTAATGATAATTGTGGAGTGACCTATAATAATCGCATATAATAAAATGAAGTACAAAGTCATAACATAGGTAGCAATGAAGCATTATTAGTTGAAACATCGATGTCGATTGCACAGCGTAGCCGCGTCTGATGTGGGAGAGTATTGGTGTAGGGCACAGATGAAGGAATGGTGTGCATGTAAGACGTTGTTGAATTTGAGAGAAGGATAGGATAAGATGTAAATATAAGAGTGCGTTTTTGGGTTGAAGTGTGGAAAGAAACGAAAGAGTGAAGTAAATGTAAAAGGCATAGGTGTTGTCTCGGGCATAAGTGGCAAAAAAAGCCGTTGGGAATTTAGCAAAACACAAGGTACTGCAAAAAGCTAGGCTAGGCCTTCATTATTCAGTTTTTACAAGCAACATAGGGTGGGTGTTTGGGGAAGATCACTTGAGTACACGGAATTTGTTCAACACTGCTCTGAATTGTGGTGAAATGAAAAGGTGGGCGGTGCCAAGCGTGTGGTTACCTTATTTGTGTATAACGTGGAACATTGTTGATGCCTACTTCACGCGTACAGATTCCCAATATATCACAAACCCTCCACGATCAATGCAAAATATCACTCATTCACCAAGTTTCAATTAAGGAGGCAAGAACAATCAAACTCACTTTGCAATCAAAGGATATTGTAATCTTATCCAATGCCCCTTCCCATATTGTTTCAACATGTCCAATATAGACAAAATGGAGCACAATGAGGTTTAGATATTTTATAATATAGCATTCAACGCAAATAATTTTATTACTTATAAGAAATGAAACACGTAGGTTTTGTTGGGTTAAAACAGTAGTTATACGATTAAACGAATAAAAATTCATTATTCTCACATAAAATATTATTTAAAGTAGAAATGGGGAATTAGATGTATGCCCTTGGAGTTACTATTTTAATTGACAATCATAAAGTTAGTGGGGTAGATTAGATAATGAAATTTTGAAATTGGAAGAGTGTGGGGGCAAAGGATCAGGTTCAGATTTATAAATGGTTCCCCACCCTTCTTGGGTCGGCTTCTTCTGGATGACACAAATATTTATGCATCCATGGATCCCACCAATTTTCTTAACTCTCAACTGTAATTCTATTCTTACAGAGTTAAGAATCTCATTCAACTCGTATTTAATAGCCTCGTCTTGGTTCGTGTGTAATGTATATACAAAACTGTGCTTTAAAGCTTCATTTCGATGAAGACATGATTACCAATTTTAATATTCTATGAAACAACGAGTTGGCAGGATATTTAGTTTTCCCTTTTAACAAATAAAAAGTGTCTCCTTTTACCTTGAAAGATTCGCCTTGATTTAAAAGTATTATTATCTTCTTTCCTTTTGGTTAAGAGTCAAAAAGCCTCGTTCAACCAGGTGTTTAGCTAGCTGCATACCTACCTATCTCGTTTTACGTAGAATTTGGCCATAAGCATGTACTACAAACTCATTTTTTTTATGATAAAAAAAAGAATATTTAATGTTATAAATACGTACGAAAGTACAATTGTTATAGCAATGCTCTAAAATTTAAATTTCCATAATAAACCTATATAATAAGGTGTTTTGACTAGATGCTTAATTATCATTCTAACTACTCATAATTAGTCATATGATTGTGGACAGAACACACACCTTGACACACCTTGATGTTGTTGAATCGCACAAGAAAACACCCTGAGTTCTAAAGGCAATTCCTTAGTCCTAAGGAGAATCATCGGACAAAGATGCAGGGCCTTGCCTTTGATCCGAAATTTTGGGCATCCCTTGATTGTGACAGTTGCTACATAAGAGTGCCAAGCCTGTACCGGACAACCTTTAAGCCCTTGTGGTCCTGTGCATCTTAGGATCTGCAAACAATAAACTTTCAAAATCCATAACATAATTTGCATGCGCAGTAATAGGTGTTCTGTTGCATGTCTTGCAACATCCACTCTTCCTTGTTCCACCCAATTATTATTATATATATAATTAAGTGTTCAAATCTTGACCATATGTGGAAATTAAAAGCAGCAACAAGATACTGCAAAATTATGAATCTAGCAGCCAACAACCCGTTTTTAATTTAATCTCACTCGTACAATATTCGCTACCATATCAAAGTTGCCACGTATAAAGCCATTACATTACTTCCACATATAGAATTGTGTTTTCTCATTACTATAATCTCCAGTTGTTTTGTTTGAATGTTCAAACTCTGAAAACTGCTGGTAGTAAGTTCCTTTCTGATATGATATTCAATTATTATATTATTGCTCTCTCCTTAGCATGTGACAAGATATCAATTCAATGAAAACTTAAGTTCCACATTAGAAACATAATCACTAGAATAATCTATAATACAGTAGAATTATGTTTCCATCTATATCTATCTCATATGTCTAACTCAATTATATATAATATCATCAGGTGCCTCTGATTAAACCTGAAATTTCTTTCAATCTGATCAGAGTTTTCTGACTCCAACAATCACAATATCACATCAGAAGGAGGACAGCTGGGGCACTGATCTCAAGGAAATTCGAACCATTCACACGTGCAAACAAATAGACAGATTCTGACTGGATTCTGATACATGAACTTCAATTTTCTTAAAATTAATTTAAACGCAAGAATGTGTATACGGGGTTGCAGTAGGTCCCTGAAGTTCAATACAAAGTCTTAATTCTTGTATGGGCCTATATTAATTTAAGAAATGAAGCAAGTAGATTGAAACTCAACAACTAGTGGGTCCTTAATAATTAACCGTGACCAAGACAACCAGCAACACTATCATCATGCATCTCTCTATTTTTTTTTTTCTTTTTATCATATTTTCTAATTATATCGTTATACACTATTTCCATAATTTTGTAGGTGAATTATGGATATTTAAAATGATTGATATTTAGAAATGTATAATTAATGTGGTCTTAAAGGAAGATGGGTGGGGAAGGAGAAGGGTGTGGAGTTAAAAATAAATGTTTTTGCATGAATGATGAACAGCTAGCTTAGGTTAGCTAGGTACCCTTTCATTTTCGTACATGGTGTATAATATTTTTGAATTCATTAGTCACTTTGTGGGTTAGTGCATAGAAAGAGAGAGGGGAAAGAAAAAGTGAGAAATGTCAAAAAAGCAACAGCTCATGGCTTAGATTTGAGGGTCCCTCCAAATTCGTTTCTCTGGATTTTCTAGTTTCCCTTTTTGACGCCTTCGAATTGGACCCATCGTCACCCCTCACTCCCCTCTCTCTCTTCGACCCTTTCTGCCTCGGTTTTCCAAGAATTTCATCTCGTATAATACACCCCTTCTCCCATTCTGTATTTAATTTGAGCCTTCATCAAACTCTTCCTCCTTCAACTGATAATACTCCATTTTCTCCTCCTCCACCAATTGAATTAGAAGAATAAAAATCAAATTTTGTTCACCCAGAAATTTTAAGGAGAAAACTCAATTGTGATCCATTTGGGCCACTATTAAGTAGGATTCATCGCACCTAATTATTAACTAGTTTGGTACATTATATCTAGTCCAAATGATGTGGCCATGATGTATTCAATTCAAACCTACCCTTGTTTGTCTCATCAAAAGGCGTCTATTTTCAATCCCTGTGTATTATCGTTTCATCTCTATTTTTTCTTTTCCGTCTTTGTTTTACTATGACAATTTAGAGAAATTGGAGCAATCAAATCATTGAAAAAAAGATACCTTATTGCCAAGGGAGGAAATTTACTACGCGAATGTGTTCCAAGTCAAACATTTCCATCCCACAATCATTCAGAGTAACAAACTAGAAACTTTATATTTTTTTAAACAAAAAACTACTTCGACCTAATTTTTGTGTCACCACGTGTTGGTCCTTTGTGTTTCATTATTTCATTATTTATTCATATATATGGTTTGTTTTTGGAGTTTTTTAAATATAATTAAATTTTCTTTCATTGTTAAAAATAATCCAATGGTGCACACTGTTATATAAAAACACTAAGTAGAAAAATAGATTGAACTAGTTTAACTTTTAAGAACATTGCTTATATAACTTGTAAGGATTGTTCCTATTTTGTGTCTAACCTTGTTGAACTTGAAATGGGGTTATTCATCATTAAATTTAAAAGACGTAAAGATATTAATAAACTACTCTATTGTCTTAATAATTAGTAGAAATATGACAGTTAATTTCTTTGATTACTCTATAATTTACAACCTAAATTCACAAATTATATATAAAAATTACAACAAATTCCAAAATTGCTCAAAGTTAAGTACTTAAAAAGAATAAATTGAGAATGTTTTGATATGATTAAAATGGAAACAGTTAAAGTATTTAATTAAATTCAATTGTTATTGACAATAACTTAGAATATATTTTTTCTCTGAATTTAAATTTCATTTTTCAGTTTTATAATGGAAAAAATATTTTAGTCCTTTTATTCTAAATATAATTAAAAGAATTTCTTATATAAGTAACTAATTATTAGTCATTTATATAAATTTGAATTTAAATTTTATATTCTTGTCATAAAAAATCTAATACATTCTTTTTTCTTTTTTTCAAATCTTATCACAATCACATTAGGTAAAAGATATTTTAATGAGAGAAATAAAAAAATGAAAAATAAAGTCAAGATATAAAAACAATTTTATATGAACAATACATTTAAACCTACACATTTTCATTCTATAGTTTCTCTCCAGTTATTTTATTAGAATTTTTCTATTCAACATTATCATATTTCGGAGTTAATATTAGAAAAAAAAAGGAAAAAGATTTTTTTGCCAACCCATCTATTGATAATATTAAAATATTATTTTTTATTAAAGAAGAAAAATAGAATAAGATAAATAAATAATAATATAAAAATCTAAAAATGAATTATTGAATGGATATTTTTGTCTTTTTATGTGTAAAAATACCAACACTTAAAAAAACTATATATATATATATATATATATTCAAATTTATTTTTTATTATTCTCAGAACTATTATTATTATTATTATTATTATTATTATTATTATTATTATTATTATTATTATTATTATTATTTTATTAATGACATTCACCTCGTGACACATGTAATTATATCTTATAAACTCATCAAATTTAGGACAAATTTTTAGTCCTACAGATTTAAAATTGATATTTTTATTTTTTTCAATTTCAAATTCAAATTCAATTTTGATTTTAAATTTTAATTATATTATTCCTTTATATTAAAAGAATCGAATCAACGTCCCTAATTTAAAACATGAAACTTTTTGTTTTCATTTTGTTATTTTACGGAAAAATTAAGGAAAGTTTTTTTTTAATAAATTATAACATTTATGTAACCTAGTATTAACAGATTTAAGAGATTAATAATATATTTTGAAACAATTTTATAGATATAATTCACCACAATTTTATTAAATTTTTAGCGGTTAAAATTATTTTTCTCAGATAAAATACATGTTATTTACATAAATATTTTTCAATAAAATTAAATTTAAAAATCAAAATATTTTAAGATTAGAAGATTAAAAAAATCACTTTTAAATTCTGGGATTAAAACTTTTTTTAATCGAATGACTACAAAAATATTTTTAAATTTAAGATATTAAAAATATAAATTTTATATTCAGGAGACTAAATAAAAAAAAATTAGAGATAAAAATAGATTTAATGCAAATTTTAGGGATTAAAAAAAATATTTCACAAATTTTCAAAAATAATTTCACACAATATTACTTTGATTACACGTATTATTATTGACATGAATGTGGTTGGTTACGTCAACAACGAATATGATATTCTTAATAATAAGAAATAAAAAGAAATATTTTGTAAAATTAGAGAACTAGAAACAGTAAATTTTAATATAAGGATTAAATTAAAAAAAAAAAACTAAATTTAGAAAACTAAAGGCATATTTAAGTATTATGGTTTCTGAATCTCTCCCTAAATATGAATCTAAATTAAACTTGTAACCATTACACAATCAGTGATGAATTTTAATGAATGATTTTTATCAAATAACATGTTACCAAAATCATATGTAACTTACAAAATTGTGGATAACATCGTCCATGGCCTCCCAGAAACCAGTGAAGATTATATAAAAGTTCCATGGATACGGTGGTTTTGCAGGTGATATATGTAAAGTGATGAAACCATGGACATAATTTGAGTACTGTTCTTGGACTTTAATCGATGAAAATGTAGTAAAATCTGATTGGAGATATCTGATAGGAGTTATTAGGGCAATTGGACAAAATTGGTCACATCGTAGGCTCATGGTTTTCAACAAACAGGTAGGGTTAATTGGGATTCAATAAATGAAGCTAAAAATACGAATGTACAATGTTATGTACAGCCATTTTTTGAACAAATAATGCAAATGAAGATGGCTAGCAAAGAGACAACCCATGTAAAGAAACTACTCACAAAACATCACACTCACCATAATCTTCTACTCACCAATTTTTATTTTGGAAGACATTGATTGTTGTGTAGATGATGAAAAAAGGACATGTTATAATTGTGGGGGAGGGTGGCTTTCAACATGCAATAATTTCGAGGATCTTGCGGAATTTGTGACTCCAATATGTCCACTAAGATAGTTTCTTTTCCACTCGTCAATTCTTGTCACTTAGCTAACATACCTATCACTCCTCAAACTACACTTCAATTTTACCTAATCAAACCTTCTCAAAACCTACTTTGTATATTTTTTAATAACTCTTCTTTAATAACGTCAATTTTAATTTTCCTAATAACTCACTTTTTCTTATTTTTATTATATTATCTACCCTCGTGGATTTGTATAATCACAAATAATTTATTGTCGGAGAAAAAAAAAAGGATATGTTCCAGATTTTCTTTCTATGCCAATCATTTCTGCAATGGTGAGGTAGGTTCTATAAGCACGTGTAACATTATCGTACATTATCATTTTTTTTTTTTGTGATAAACAATATACGGTTAATGAAACATTGTCCTTGGCAGATTGAAAATATCATAAAAGCGTTGCATGTTCTGCTGAGGTGAGGATTTTATTCTATATCAAGAAATCCGTATTTTTGTTTTAATTTGCCCACATAAAAAAAAAAAAACACGATTCTAACAATATCTGCCAATTTGTTTGGAGTGTTAGTAAAAATAAATCGTGATTTTGTACGAACTTCGGTTATAATATCAGAGATTTATATTGAATGGGAAATAAGGAAGCTGTGTACACATATGTGATAATCAATGAGTGGTTGATTTAAGTGGTATTTATTTTGTTTAAGCATATGCTTGACACTTTTACTATTATCATACAATAAAAAATTTAAATTCGAATCAAATTATATTTCTAGAAAGAGTGAAATCACCCTCTTTCTACAAATTTAGTTTGTTAGGATTAAAAAACTAAATTTATATTAAACACTAAAAATATGTTTAAATTCTTAGTTGGTTTTTTTTTTATTAAACCTTACTAGTTTGAAAAATAATCAAATAATTAAAATAACTTTGTATCACAATATAATTAATTTATCAAAAATATATTTAAATATAGTTATTTGTCAATTATAATAATTTATACATTTAAGATTATTTATTTATTATATATTTTAGTTATATAAAACTAAACATTTATCTTGTACATTATACAAGTTAAACTATTAATTAATTTATTTTTTCGGAAAACCTAAGTAGTAACTTACATGGTACGTAACTTTGGGTGGTAACGAATTGGTTTATGATAAGCATGAGAATGTGACTTGTAGGGATCAGATTTCGCTGAACCCATTTCTCACCCAACAACAAAACACAACACACCTGTCCCATTTCACTTCATACCTTTTATTTTTTAATTATTATATAATCATATTATTTAAATTAATTAATTTCACCGTATAAAATACGAAAGAAAATGAATGCAACAGGAGTCAAGATTTTTTAATATCCTTTTCAAATGTGATATTGATTTTACGTGCCTACTTTTATCCTACCTACCACGTGGATATGTGCGATGCACACACCATACATTTTGTCTTTGTTCGAAATATACAGAAATAAATAGTGTTTATTTAGAAAATTTTAAGATTATATTGTTACAATTACGTATAAATTAAATTGCTTTATTTTTCAGTATAGATATATTTTAAAATCACCATTATTTGCGTAAATATTTATTCTAAAATCATTTTCTAGCATAATACATGTTTCAATTTTTTAACACTTATGATTGAAATCGTTGTCATCAAAATTAGTGTAAAATATATTTTGAAGTTGAAGATAAGATGGAGTCAAAATAACGCATAATAAATTTTAGGGTGATTATATTTTACAACCCACTTTATCCGAAAGATCCATTACATAATCTAATATAATAATATGTTATCATTATATTAGATTGTGAAATGATTGTTTTTCTTATTCAAAATTATTAATTTATATGTTTTAAAAATTTTAAAATAAAGTTAGAAATAAGTGAACATCTTTAATCAAAACAACATATACGAGTGATTTTTTATTTTAAAAAGTGAAAAATAAAAAGTTATTATTATTATTATTATTGATTTTAGTTTGTTAAAAAAAGTAATAATTTTATTTTTAACTTGTTTGGTGAAGTAACTAAAAAAATAATTGATCCTGTAACATATAATTTTTGGAATAAAAAGTTGTTTTAAGTATTTGAAGAAACAATTTTTGTTAAAATGTTATAATAAAAGAGGAGAAATAGAATGATTGGTAGAGTAATTAAGAGGGTTAAAAAGTAGAAGAAGGAAACAGAAAGGTGGTAAAGAAGGGGGAGGCAAAGGGAAGAGAATAATAAAGTGGAGCCCATGAGATGTGTTGTAATGATTTAGTGTGAAGCATGGGATGAATGAATGATAAAGAAAGGTTGAGAGTGTGACTAAGCATAATTATGAGTAATCAATAAAAAGGGGTTTGGTTTAGTTTAGTTTAGTTTAGGTTTAGGTTTAGCCACAAGTGTGTGTTGTGAAACGTAAGCGAAGAGGGGAGAGAGAGAGAGTGAAACATGTTGACCATTTTTTCAAAGGTGACTAACTGGGTGCCAGGGAGCAAAGCAAGAAAGCAAGGCAGCATCCATTTGGATTTTTTCTTGGCCATGTTTTGGGTGACATGCATCAAACATAATACACCCATTAACAGTTTTTGTTTAATCATAGCAATTATAATAATAAATTCATGTTTGCTCATCACCATACTTCCTAATCATTTCTATATCATCTTGGTTAGTGAAAATGGACCTACAAACCCTACAATAAACATTCTGTCTTTCAAGTCAAATCTCAAATTCCTTGTCATTACATTGCATTACATTACATTATTAATAATATTTCCACTCTCTTCACCCTTAACATATGCATATATTTTTCTCCTCTCTTTTTGTCTCTCTTACACACATCTACATGTGGCAACATTTCATTCAATCAACCACTTGTAGCTACATCACCATGCACCAAGGAGGACTCTCCTCCATGGTGCAAGAGATATGAATCATGTGTCCCCTTCAACAGTGAAACATGACATACATGGGAAAGTTTTTCTTCAAGCACCTATACTAAGGATGTTGTGGGTAGGGTTGAGAATAAAATTAGGGTTTGTATATATATATAAAATGCAAATAAATGAATAAAGAATTGTGCTCCACTTGAGATGGGATGGTCAAATATTTTTTAAATTTTTTATTTTTGAATATAGGTTCGAGGATATTGGCATTGTAAGGGGTGAATTTAAAAGTTGTGGAGTATCCCTTAAGATACATTTGAAAGGTTTCATGTTATAAAATTGTGTCAAAGATGCATTTGAATATGAAGGGGAAGTAGGAATCAGTCTATTATTAATGGGACCACATTCCAAGCAAGGCAAGTGGGTTGAACACATTTCTTGGTTTAGAAAATGTTAGACATCAATGATGGTATTAATTCTGTAGAGAATTGTGACCATAAAAAAGGTCATTATAATATTGGTCACATTTTTCAATTGCTGGGATTTAATATTACTAGAATGAATGATATTTTAATTCATAGGGCACTTTTAAGATCTAGGAGAAGAATCAGTTGGATAGTGTAGGGCAGAGAGAATAAATTATTGTAATCTAGGGGTAGAGAAGAACACACCTGGGCTTTTTATTAGATTTGGTTTTAACTTCACTAGATTTCACTCAAATATGCTCTGCAACTCACTGTGATCCAAAAAGGAAAAAGCTGTGCTTATTCTTCCTAATAAATCAAAGAGATTATTATTTATTTATTTATTAATGTGATCCTGAACCAAAGATGAAGTGAAGCTTACTTAGCCTTGCAAGTTGCAATCTCCTTAACCTGGAATCACTTTTTGAGGGTGTAAAATTTGTTGATTTTGGCTTCTATTATTTTGTTGATTGTGACAAGTTTTATAATGTGATCAATAGTGCTTCGTATAACGCAATAGCAGCACATGGTTGAGTCAAACATGCAATAATCACAAGAGAGCCAAAATACTTATTTGCCCGTGTATTCAAAAAGCGAAATACACGCGCACAACACACACATGTACGATTTATTAAAATGAATGAGTCAAATCAAATAAGTTGCAGACACTATTTTTTTCTTTTTATATTTCTCCGTGTTTAGAAAATGAAACCATAAAATTTTCAAAGATGATGATACCGCTAATATTTTATCAGAAGCTCTGTCTGTAATTAAATTCATAATGTACTGACAAATTAACCAAGCAACTGACAAATTGACAACAACATTAAAAAAGAAGAAGAAGAGGAAATCATAGAAAAAATAAATTGGAGAGAAGAGCCTCCAATTAAAGTTGAAATCCACGTGGGATTTGAAAATTGAGGATACGCACCAACACCTAACTCTCGGAATGAGGTCAGAGTCATCGGGTTTCCTTTTTTCAATGTAGGATATTTAATTAGTTATCTTTCATTTTTATAATGATGACCATGTTGAATTCTGCTCATACTTCGTTTTTTTATTACACATGTTTGAGGAGACAAGGGAAGGATATCAATGGATAATTAGGATTCAGCTATTGCATACGCTCAAAAATTCAAAGCACACCTCCTTTCAGGATAGAAGGATGTGACTCGATTATTTTTAGGTATAGAAAGAAATGTTTTAAAATTTATATAAATATCATTTAAATTGTGGCTTTTTTTTTTCTTTCTTTCTTTCTGCGTTTATAAAAGTTTTTGACATTTCCTATTTATTTTGGAATAGATTTTTGGAAATATAGGAGAGATCCTAAAAAAATCTTATGAAATACAGGAAGAAACAGTCTGAAAGTAGGTCCAAGAAGATATTTTTTGTCCACACTCCAGATGGTTGGGGCAACCCTTTTTTGGGCCTGCTTTTTTTCAAGTAGCTTGTATTAGCCACATTGTATTATCACAACTTGTTCTTAAAATGGACATTAATTAGGGTAATACATGTTTACAAAGATTCATGTTACCAAGCGGGTTCCTCATTTTGTTTCCCTAAAAAGGTTGTTCCCGATTCACAAATATCAGGTTTCCATTACTAATGGAAGAATTTTTGGAAAAACTTATCTTATTGTGTATATACTTGTAGAAACACAAATGTTGTTACACCTACATGATTAATATAATAATTTTTAAAATTGTACTTGCTATCCAATTTGTCTAAAAACACCATTTTGTATATGTATAAGAAATCAAGAGTAGAAAATATTAGGGTTACTTGATTTTAATATAACTTCTGCATGCTTTATAAAAATATATCAACATTATATATTGTTTATAGTAATAGATGCATGTTTTCTAACAATAAAATGTGCTGATACCCCATATTTGAGATGTGGATTGCCACGTGATATTCTTTTCTCTTTTTTTCTTTTTTCATTTTTTTTTCAAATGAACGATAGCATCCGTTAAATAAAATTAATCTAATGAGTCAAACAAAAGTGCAGCACCCAAATAAATACATTGAAGCAACAAAATCTAAAGTATTTGTATATGCCTTGGGCCAAAGTCTGAGGAAGGTCGTAAATCTCAATGAACGAGGACATCGTTATTTGCACTACTTGAGAAAGATATGAGTTAACATATCTTAGTTTGAACCAAAATTACAATATGCACCGATATGTTTAATACATTGGAATGGTCACTTTCCTAGATAATTTATCTGAAGTTCCGTATGAAGAGGTTTATCAAAATTGTATATGTAGACATGTTTTGGGAACAAGTGCTTAACGGAAACTAGAACCCTTGAATCAGAATCGCAGTCTAACAGCATGGGACACATCATCCACAGTGGCTATGCCTACCTAGAATTTACTTATAGATTATAGAAATTGACAAGGAAGACTAACAAACAAACCTTCTATTCAGTCTACAATGCAATACAATACTCCACTTGAAATGGAACAAAGGAGCCATGTCATTCTTCTTCAAAGTCCATGAGGAAATCAGTCAAATTTTCTGAATCGTCTATAGCATCGTCCAGTGACATAGGACCATCTTTCTTTGGCTTTGGCTGCATATCCAAGGAGGTGAAGGGATGTTTTGTCAATTATACAATGTTACAGATGAGAAAGAAACAAGTGAAATATAAAATATATGTCCAAGATTTCTGATTTGATTTTCATCCCAATAGTAGGCGATACCAGAAAGCCTTTGATCCATCCGAGGCAACTTAACTAGAAAAGAGATGACACCAGCAGAGAAAAATACTAGAAAATATTTGATTTACAAGAATACCTTTGACTTGCGAAGCTCAGGAGTGCTTTTCAACACACTCCAATAATCACCAAGCTTCTCTTCCTCTCCCTCTTCCACTACCTCATCAGCATCACTATCCTCTTCATCCTGGTTAATAAAGAAAGAAACAAGGGAGAAAACTGTTTCTTATAGCCAATCATTTTGGAATAGAACTCAGTAGACAACCACTGTAAATGAATTCCTATAAAGATGATTGAACAGAAGCTCACATCATTTTCCCCAATGTCAATAGCTTTGGCCATAGCTTCATCCATGTCCGTCATCTGCCATAATGCAAAATAAAGGGTATCAGACCATAAACAGAATGATAGGTCACAGGTGGTATTGAATGAAGGAGGTTGCAAAGCAGAAAGGAATTGTAATAAGAGGTTCATAACTTAACACTTAGAGTAAAGTAAGATGTTCAAGTGAAAATACCAGCCAATACTAAGTTATTCCATAAGAATTCTGTTGTCAATGAATTATAAATCTACGTACAACTTTTGAGAAATTTCAAAAGGGTCAAGTCTATCCTTCTATAAACTAGATAAGGATCAGATTATAGGTTGGCATGATAAAGGGAAAACTTACTCATTAAATATTACTTTCAAATGGATCCTCCCCGTTTTATGGCTCAACTTTAACAAATAAAATCAACGAATAAGATTTTTCTTATTTGGATTTACAGTTTTCTCTACCATTTTAAATTTCCATCCAGATTCCAATTAGTCTAGTCAACCTGATGGAATTGACATGCATAAAACCTAATGAATGTCAATTTTACATACAAAACTATATTTCATGAGTCCACCCCTCCCCCCAAATTCATTATTACAAATGAGATTAGGAAGTTTCCGAAGAAAATGATAATTTCCATCATATTAAGCAGAATTGGTCTATTGAATTGGCGATAAGACAAGTAAGTAACACTCCTTGGTATAGGTGAACGAACTACACTGAGTTCAAAACGGCCAACTAAAATTCCCATGCTTTGGGTCTATGTAACTCTAACCTCTGCCCCTCAACTAACTTTTCTTTTACTTTAAATCTTTTTGCACAAGTGAATCTAATCTAAACCAAGTTAAGGCAAATCATATAAAACTAAACAATTACTTCAAGAAAGCAATTCCCTATATGCAACTCATCTGTTTGAAAAATAATCACCTCAATTAGTATTATAAAGTTCAAAACATCCTTACCTCAATTTGTTCAGTCTTTTCCTTGGCCATAGTCTTCTCAAATTCCTCCCTTGAAGTGAGTTTTCCATGCTGATCGTATCGAGAAGAAATTCAGAAATTTTGGCGTAAATAAAATATCACAATTTTATTAAAAATTTGGTCTTGGCATTATGTAAATCTGAAAATTGAATGTTTCAACAACTGGTAAAAAAGACAAAAAAAAAATGATATATTCAAGGGCAATTTTAGCCAATAACTACATTATGACACTTGTAACAGTATGTCAAGTGCTTTGGGGGATTATAAGCATAAAGAAACAAATAAAAGTTAAATTGAAAGGATTAAAACAGGAATGAATCTAACAGTAACAGATACAACTCCATCTTATTTCGAAGATGGAGAATTGGCTTACTTTTTTGTTTTAGATATGGTAAAATAACTAACTAAATTTTACAAAACCGGCTCAATATTAACCTATATGCTATAATGTTGAATAGGCTCGGATACCATCTTAGAAATTATGATGAGGATTGTACTCATCTATATACTATAATGTTATCGTATCTTTAGCCGATGTGAGATTTCACCACACCTTCTAATCTCGAGGAGGATTTTTCATCGCATCCTCTCACCTCAAAGAAGATTTTTCATCATTTTTTTGTGAAAAAAAAAGTAAGACATGATTTCTTAGGTGTTAGAACCGTGATATTATTTTGTAATGATCAAGTTATGAAATGTTTAAAAATAACAAAAAATTATCATATGAAGCTTATATTTTGGAGGCAAGATAAGTAGTATTCAAAAACACATAATTTATAGTGAGAAAAATAATTCCAATTTTTTTAGCACACCATCCTCGAGATACGTTCACATTCATATAAAGAGATTAACTATTACAATTTAATCCCACTTTAACAAAAAATACGAATAATAAGAAAACAAAGAGAAGATCTTATAGAGTAAATAACCTCCTTCAGATAAGCCACCATATTTGGCGTTGGTTCATGAAAATTTGGCCCCCTGTAGTCAATCACTTCATTTGGATCTTGAATATAATTCACAGTCGGGTAAACTGGATCTCCACCCCATACTGCATAAGAGAAGAATTTTTTTTAATCTACTGTTCTGAAATAAAATATTTACAGTAAAGTAAGCAAAATTATTAGATAAGTAGATGCCAATGCATAAATTATGATGGCAACAGGCAACACGTGAGTAGTTTAAAACTAAATCTTAGAGGTAAAAGTAGATGAAATTTAATAAAGTAACAGGAAATAAACGCCAGTCTGGAGTTTCAAGGACACAAAACTAAATGTAAGATGCTGAAGACTCCTAGTCAATTATTATGAAATTGATATAGAAAACAACGAAAGAAGAACAAAAATAGGTATACAAAGAAAAGCATATAAACAGAAAGTAGATATAATAACAAAAGGAAGTCAAAGTTCTCCTCTCTGATATAGTTTTTCAGTTAATTTTTCTTTTATTTCTTAAATACATTCAAAACTTGGTCCAAATAACAGCATACATAGTATTTTTTTGTTCCTGAGAAAGAAAAGGCTATTAAATGGTTTGCTAACAAACAACGCTAAATAAAGTGAAACAAATTTAAAATCAAAGAAATAAGAGAAACTAAAAAAGATGGTCATGAAGTCAGTACTTTGCTTTATCTGATCCTCCCTCATTCTCATTGCTAAAGGATCCCTTTGGATTCTATAATCAGTCCCCATCATTACACGATACTCTCGGTCAGTTTGATGGGAAAACATTTCAATTAGTTGAGTATTTTCATCTTCTCCGGTCTCTTCAAAATGCTTCTGAATAGCTTCTCGAGACGTGTCCATTTTCCATGCTTTCACCCATTCTGAATAGTATGCAATTGGACCATCTCTTTCCAGCCTCTCTTGCTCAGCCTGAAGCCTACAAAAATCAGGAGTATTTTTTTATTTTTTAATTATGTGAAGACAAAATAATACAGGAAGCTTTTATGCTAGAAATTTCCCCAGTTTAAAGCAAAAAAAAAAAAAAAGTGACAACTTTTTTTTTTGTGCCTATTTAAGAGCAAGTGATTTTGAATTTTAAAATTAATTCTTACATATGAATTCAAAATTATGAAAAATTAAGTTTAACTCCATACACTTATGCTTAGGGACACTAAAACCCAGTACATGCAAAGTAAGTAGGTAGTTCAACTAGAGTTTTTATTTTAGTTTAAAAAAAAAAAAAAACTACAAATAATAGTAGATTTTCCTTTCCTTTTGAAACGATACATCTTGCACGAGTCATGGAATCTGTAGTTAACCCAGTTCATCCGTTTTAACAAGGAAGCATAACTCAAACTTGAACTTTTTAGATAAATGAAGCATATTTAATGGCACCACTTTTTATAAGTCAATTTATTATCAAGTACATTTAATGGAGAGGCTTAAATAAACTTGGAGCAGCATATGTTCTGCAGGACAGTCAAAACTTTATCAAGTTACAATCCTTACAGTTAATTCATGATGTGAATTGTGTCAATTTGTTTTCTTAGCATATGTAGGTTACTCACATGCATTTTCTCAGTCCTTTCAGAAATTTTTCCAATCTTCAAGCTACTGTTGTTTAACCTTCCCAATTAATCGCTTGATTACAGCTCTTATAAGTTTTACAAATAGAATGCACTATATACCATTTTAGGCTTATTAGAATTATGCTGTAAGCATTAGTAAAAAATACCTTTCTTCTTTAAAAATTCCGCGCCTTGCTCGGTAAAGGGCAGTTTCTGTTAATGTTGGGTGTTCACCATGAAGCTTTATTTGTCCAGTTTCTGCCATAGCTTTCAGGAAAGCCTGAAAAATGAAAGAGAAGTTCAGGATCAAGATGTAAAACTTTATTAACAAAATAGTATTTGTGACTTCAACGTATATGACTGGCTTTTAGACCTCTTGTTTGATGAACAGGACCATGGAGGATCTAACAAATAAAAGTATCTGGCATGGGGACTGGGAGCATCTTACATGAAAAAGATTTTACAACCCAAATTATAGTAGTCTGTTAACCAGATTTCCAAAAGAGAAAGAAAAAATAGACTGGCCACATGCCCCTTTAATCCATAAATTGACCATGGTGAATTAATCCACATATAAAATAAATTCCAATCATAAAGCACAAACCAAGAAATGAACACTAACCGTTTCAACATCAGGTTTCCTTCTTTGCCACCTGGACCATAATTCGTTCTTCGGCTTTTGCCAATTCCACCACAGCTCCTCATTGGGAAGCACCCCCTCTATCGGCTTTTTAGCCTTTGGATCAACAAACGGATGAGGAAGTCCAATTTTCTTATTGAACTCGTACTCACTCAATTCTTCCTCCTCAGGTTCAGACTGATAAACAACAAAGTCAGATGAGTGATCCTGAGATTCTTCCAGGGATTCAACCAAAAGCTCAGAAGAATCGGCATCAGCACCAGTCAATTCATCAATGGGCTGAGACGAAGCAGAAGCAGCAGCAGGAACAGATGTCTTATAGTTCTTCCTCCTACTACCAGGCTTGGCTCCATAAGATGGAGAGGTTGATGATTCGGCAGTTGGAGCAGGAGCCCTTGCAGCCCTCACTCTACTAGCAGTTCCCTCAGGCCAATACTCTTGACTGGGAATACTCGCTCGGGCTCCGGAGGCCGGCTCGAGCTGGCCCGAGGTGGAGTCAAAGTAAGTGTCATAGGGTGGACGCTCAACTGATACATGCTCAATGTGTTCATCATCTTTCTTTTCACACTTTATGCAAGGAACCCTCCTTCTACAATAATTTCTCAAAATAACTCCACGTTGCACAATACCAGCACCAACAAGGTAAGATGATGGTGGCGTCTATGAGGTTTGGTTTCAAGTTTCAACCATTGCATGATAAAATTAAATTAGCTACACTTCACATCCAACAAAGATATGTAATGTAAATGACTTTAAGAAAGAAAAATGTGCAATTGTTCACCTTACACACTTCAAAATTGATCTTTTTAATTTTTTGTTTATAGAGTGTAAATGTAAAGTAGAGATAGGCGAAAAGTTGAAGTTAGAAGGGTAACCTGGAAGCGATTGAAGGACAAATTAGCGACGAGATTGGAGTGAATGGAAGCCATGAGCTCCCACCGATGCCTGGGTTTTGCGAAAGTGGAATGACGAACTTCAAAACGGCGAGGTTTATTATTACTACTCTTCAGATAGAAAGAGAGAGAATTGCGCAGTGATGGAGAGGGAGACACTCAACTCAATAGTGTTTCTCTATTTACTTCTCCATCTGGATAAACTTCTTCATTACTGGTAAGAAAAAACAAAACCAAATATGTAAAATCATTTTATACTTATTTTCCTTTTTGTATAATGTAATAGAACATGTCACAATTATAAAATTTATTAGATTATTAATTACAACTAAAAATATGTTTTATTTTAAAATTGTCTAATTTTTATTTTTTGAAACTTACCAATTAATAAAAAATACCAACATTTTAAAATAATTTGTGATTTAAAACTATTTTTCTTTAAATAAATTTGATAACATGCTATCTAATTAAACTTTATTTTTTTAATTATATATTATACATTTACTTATGTTTAAATTAATTTTTGTTTAATACATAAATATTTTTCCTTAATCGAAATATTAGTCATTAGAAAAATCCATTCACCATTTTGTGAGATTATTCTTATTTAACAAAAAATAACAAGTTGTTTTTTAAAAATGATCAAAGCTGAAATAACCAAAAAATATAAATGGCAAAAATTAGATTGAATGAGTTAAAATTTAATATTATTTAGAAATGAGTTTAAATTGAATCTCAAATTGTTTTTATAATTAGATGAAATCCATAGCTCCCTGCAAACACTGAAAACGATATTGTCCCACTTTATGTCATGCATGCTAACAAATTATCGGATGAAAGGGGAGAGAGAGAGAGAGAGACAACATAAGCGGAATTTGGAGATAGCTACGTTAACCGTTTTCGTCGCTCCTTCAGTTACTAGGCTTCTTGTGTGTGGAGCATCGTCACTTCCATCTTTCTTTTCTTTTTCTTCCTTTTCACCTTCCTCCACCTTCCATGTTTCAATTTACCAATATTCAAACAACAATCCTGCATTTCAATTAATTAATTGAATATATAAAGATTAATGGCATTCATGAAGCAGGGGTCAAGGTCTGAACCTTTTCGTCGGGAAGGTCAAACGTGGTGATCATTCATCTCTTTCTAAATCTATGTTCTAATGGGTCCTTCTACCATTGACCTTCGTTTGTTAATTTGATAATTGTGAACCTTTCCACATAAATAAAAGTGTAACCTCGTAACCCTTCAGGGTTTTTTTCATCACTTTGTTTGGAAATTCCCCTAATTTTTGGATCATTTATTCTAATTCAGGGTTTGTACAACAGGACTACCAAGTGATGTTACCATTGAAGTTGGCGAAATCTCTTTTCTCCTCCACAAGGTGCTTGTTCCTATTATATAAGACAAAACTTAGATACATGTCTTTTAGGTTTGCATTAAAAATCAATAGAAGTTGCCAAGGTGAAGCTTCAATTTGATATGAACACTAGAAGCCCCTAAAGATCTGCGTCCAAGTTTTATCCTTTAACATGCTGTATGCATGTGTTGTTGGTTTTTTCCCCATCTCTTTAACTTCTATGACTTTGAATGTCTTCTCAAGTTGATCCTTAGTTTGTTTATACGTTTGTGTTTGTGATTTTGGTGCAGTTTCCATTGCTTTCTAGAAGTGGCCAACTGAAGAAACTCATTGCAGAGTCCTCTAATGAAGATGGATCAAGTTGTGTTTTGCAACTTCATGATGTTCCTGGTGGAGCCAAAACATTTGAGGATATAACCAGGTTTTGCTATGGTGTAAAAATAGAAATCAGATCCTTAAATGTAGTCAGCCTAAGATGTGCAGCTGAGTACCTCCAAATGACTGAAGACTATGGTGAAGGGAATCTTATTGCACAGACTGAGACTTTTCTCAATGAAATTTTCAGCAATTGGCCAGATTCCATTAAAGCCCTTGAAACATGTGAGGAAGTGCAACCCTATGCAGAAGACCTCCATATAGTTTCAAGATGCATTGATTCCTTAGCTATGAAGGCTTGTTCCGACCCAAACTTATTCAGCTGGCCTGTGGCTGCGCGTAATTGCAAGCAAAATCAAGCAGACGACCATGCATTATGGAATGGAATTTCTTCTGATACAAGATCATCTCAAAGTGATCATTGGTGGTTTTATGATGTGTCTTTGTTAAGCCTACCCCTGTATAAACGACTCATTATAGCAATTGAAGCAAAAGGAATGAAGTCTGAGGCTGTTGCTGCATCTCTCATATATTATCTTAGGAGGTTTCTCCCCTTGATGAATAGGCAATCAAGCTTCACTGATACAGGCCATGCTACTATTCCTAATACCTCCGAAGCAGATCAAAGGGCTCTACTTGAAGAAATTGTGGAGTTAATTCCTAATAAAAGAGGGGTCACATCCTCAAAGAATCTGCTCAGGCTGCTCCGCACAGCCATGATACTGAGTGCAAGTCCATCATGTAGAGAAAATTTGGAGAGAAGGGTAGGAGGTCAACTAGACCAGGCTGAGCTTGTGGATCTTCTCATTCCAAATATGGGATACTCGATGGAGACACTCTATGATATAGACTGCATTCAGAGGATTCTTGATCATTTTCTGTCTATATACCAGCCTGCATCTGTAGCAGCTTCTCCATGTATAATTGATCAGGGGGCATTGATAGCTGGAGCTGATGCATTGACACCTATGACAATGGTGGCAAATTTGCTTGATGGATACCTTGCCGAGGTGGCTTCAGATACTAATATGAACTTGACTAAGTTTCAGACACTTGCTATTGCAATTCCAGATTATGCTAGGCCACTTGATGATGGTATATACCATGCAATAGATGTATACCTTAAGGTTGGATTTTGGATAGCTTACCTTAACCTGTTTTATGTTTGTGGTTTAATGTAGATATCATAACTTATTAAACAGAATTGAAATTGAGGAAGAACGAACCAAATTAGTTTGAGTGATATTTGAAAGCTACTGCTGACTGTCTGATCCGCAGCTATATTGAGAAATATAATAAAATAAAACTCACCACAGAGAAAAAATAACAAGTTTAAAACATTACTAGCTTTCGTTATTTAGATTATTTAGAATGTGATGGAATGAAACTTTTTCTTTAAAAATTCAATCATAAATCTAAATAATGAAATGCTAATTTTTTTTTTTAGTCTCATTATGTCTTCAACTGTTTCAAATATGATCATTCTAATGTAAAACTCCGTCAAACGACAGATACATTCGTGGCTGACAGATTCTGAACGGGAGCAACTCTGCAGATTGATGAACTGTCAAAAGCTCTCATTGGAAGCTAGCACTCATGCAGCACAAAATGAAAGATTGCCTCTACGAGTAATTGTTCAAGTCCTGTTTTTTGAACAGCTTAGGCTCCGCACATCTATATCTGGATGGTTCTTTGTTTCTGACAATCTTGAGAACGGACATCACAATGGAAATGTTGTCCTCCCAAATAATGATCCATTTCAACGGGACACTGCAGAGGGAAATGAAAACTTGAGGGAACGTCTTTTGGAGCTGGAGAAGGAATGCTCAAGCATCAGAAACGAGCTGCAGAAGTTGACTAAGACAAAGAAAATTTGGAGTATTTTACCAAAAAGGTTTGGCTTTAGAAAAAAGTCAGAGAACTGCAATAACAGAGAATCAAATAACAATAATATGAAGACATCATCTTCCTCTAAAAATGGAAAATCAGATAATGAAAATGGCTGAGAGGGCTCAGTGAATTTCATAACCCAAGTAAGTGGAGATAATCTTTTGGTACAGAAAAATTTCAGGTAGTGCTATTCTCTTATATCTTATTACTCTGTTTGTGACAGGAGGACTTGTGGCCATCACTCCTTTTGGTGTTGCAGATCCTCGACATTCTGTTCCTGCTTTGTGTGATCATTTTAGTTGTGAGATGGTTGTATACAGTCAATGTTTTAGTTCTATTTATTCCTTGGTTTGGTACATAAAAACGTGAGATCCTGTCAGATTTGAAACTCTGGGTGACCACGGTGCACTTTCTAATAGTGGCTCTTAGGGGTGTCCATCCCTTTTTTGCTGGTGACACCAACTCTTGATTTTCCATATTTTCTATCCATCAACAAAGTGGCTAACCCTATTCATTCCTTAGCTAACCTATCCAGATTATCTGATGTAGTTTCTCGTTTGAAGGACCCTTGGCTTACAAATGACAAACTACTAGATGTATATATCCATTCACTTCCGAAGGCTGTATCTGACCATGTTTTTTAAGGACTACCAGAGGGTGGCAGCATGCAAAAGTTGCGTGTCGATTAGGTAGATAGGTAAATGGCATATAGAGACTGTAAATACAAAACTACATGCACATGCGTATGGATTCGAAAAACAATGATAATATCTGTATCTTACAGTTAGTAATGACCAGACAATTTTAGTCATTTCTGCATAAAAACTCAGAATTGCGATAGAGAAGACGAATAGCATGTCTTGTTCCCTTTTCAAACGTACTTTTTAGATTAAAAAATACAAATGTGTTGCATTTATTACTGAACAGACATTGGACGTACTTTCACTGACTGGGAAAGGTAATCCAAATTAGCATGAAAAATGCATTTATAATTCATTCGGTATTAGCAAAAATTATTCTTTTATTAAATCGCTGTTTAAATCGAACAATGTGGTTACCGGAGAATATTTTTTTACAATTCCTCTTGCAATAAAATAAGATGTTTGATAGTATTCTGTGCAATCCAAGCACGACTATCATCAACACTAACAAGAGAATTGAGTACTAGAGGATTATTGGAAGTAAAAATCGCCAAATTGAGGATTTTCTAATTTACATTTTCAAGAAGCCTAGTGTTGTGAGAATTGCCATTTTGATTCAACGGAGACTGGTTCAGGGTATATTTTAATTCACTCATCCTGGCTTTGATTTACCACATAAAGTCACCCACATTGCGTGCCACATGCTAACATGTGCACACAAACCTAGCCTTGTGCAATCTCTACCAAACCCAATTTCTTCATCTTCCGTCAGCCCCAAGACTTGATGTGATCGCGGGGAATGACACGATTGATGTGATAATGAAGCTTTGAAGAGAAATGCTGGGATGTGGATTGAAACCGGTGATAACTTTTTTTGGGACTGTTAAACAGAAGGGGCTCGAATGAACACTACGGCTGTGTCCTGTGAGATGGATCATCTTATCCACAAAGTGAAGGTTGAGAATTTGAGACAATGGAATAATGAAAACACCAAACTGCGGTTGTATAGAGATGAACAAGACAGCTCATCAGTTCTTCATGGGAGACCGACCTATCACACCCTCTATCAGATAAAATATATTCCATGGTTAACGAATTCAGATCGAAGTTGAAGATTGCCGGTCACAAACAAAAGTCAGATTTTGAGGTACACGCGTGGATGCAGGAAGATAGGAATGTTTTTCCCACTGATAGTGAAACGTAAGCAATCGCGTTTGGTCTAACTATTAGTACTAGAATACAAAAGAACCTGCGTGTTTGCCAATGACCGTTATACTGCAATGAAGATCGTCTCTAAGCTTTCTTGGAAAAGAAATCATCATATCATTTGAAAAGTGAAAAATGTTCCTGAAATGACTTTTGGTGGCATTCAATAACTACGGTTAGCTTATTAAAGATCCAATTGTTGGACACATAGCAGATTTCGCATATTCAAAGGCCAAACATAAATGACAATACAAAAAATTATCCATCCACAAAGAGCTACTAAAAGTGTGGAAGCTCGGGTCTGATAAAATGTTATTCTGACCAAAATATAAGGAACCATGAGCGTTAGAAATATATCATATGTTGAATGAAACACCGGTTACATAGTGCTATACAATTAGTTTCTCTTCTTACCATGAGCGTACAACTTCTGCATTTCAAAAAGAACAAAGGCACCTAATTTATATTAGCATTGAACTCGTACAGAATTGTGAAGTCGCGATGATGTCCAAGGTCCCATCATTCATTGTCCAGTGAATTAAAATTGCGAATAGTAGTTGATCAATAACCAAAGAATTAAAAAGCAATAGGCATAATCAAACACTTCACCCATCAGATTGATGATATAGACACTACATAGATAGTTCACCCAGATGAAGCTAGAAACAAGACATCAGATATACGTTATAACAAAACAACTTAAGGTGTCAACTGTATATGATACCCATCAGGGGATGTACATTATTCAAACCAAGGGGACTTTCGCAAGTCATCAGAATTACATTTAGTGCTTCTCCCATTCCCATCACATAGTATATATTATGCATAAAACACCTGAAACAAAAAATAATTGAAAATACTAAGTTATTGTCTAAGTCGAAGAATTGGAGGTATAATCGTCGCAAACATGTCACAAAACAGAACACAGCTTGATTGCAGAAGAACAATTGACAGGAGAAATCAAAACTCAAAACCCTATATACAAAACCCTAATACCGTCTTACGAAAGATTAAAAGAAAAATTGAGATGGGAATAGAGAGGAAGAAGATACCTTGAGTTTAGTTGTAGTAGAGTTCGAGACCCATGCCATCGTGAATCTCGTAATCCTTAAGAGTGATGTGATCCTTGTAAATGGTGTACCACTTCTGGATGCGGATCTTGTCGGCTCTGGTGCCCGTCTGAGCCGCCACCAGTTTCTTCAGGTCGCCGATGGTGTCATCGTCGTTGCATTTCACGCGCACCTTCTTTCCCAATCGGTCGTTCAACACCACCTCGATCATCTTCGCGAAGCCAACAACCCTAATCCCCAATTCGAAACCAAAGTGAAATTGGCTTACAGTGTCGCAATTCCTTTGTCCTAAGAAGGTCCTATTTATATATAGTGATGTTAACAACCTCTCCACGTATCAACCAAGTTTGACTGTGATAACATTTATAATTCTTGTATTGTAAACAAAGAGTGTTGAATTATATCTTTTAAATTAAAATAAAAATTTTAAAATAATTTTTATTTATTTAAATATTTTGTTTTTTTAAAAAATCATATAATTTATATATATATATATATATATTTAATTATTATATATAAAAATGTATTTGAAATAAAGATGGAGATTTGACTTGTTAGTATTAAAATAAAAAATATTACCTCTGTCAAAGTGAAAATTATTAATTAATCTTTCTTATTATATGCACTTGCATATTGCGACGATTCTAGAAATTCTAGAAGACACTTACTAATATTTAAAATAAAAAATAACACGTAACACTTCTATTTTTTTGAATATTCTTAAAATAAATGTTAAGGAAAAAAAAAATGGTCTAACAGGAATGTAAAATGAAAATAAGAAAAGAGGGTAATTGAAAAAAAAATCATGCAAATAAGCATCTAAGGTTGAATTTGGTGGTATTACAATATATATATAACTCCTTAATATTCAAAATGATATAATTGAATCTTCAATACTACTACAAATTATTAATGGAAAAACTGCATTACTCCTCCATTTTCTAATTAAATGAAACTCTTAATTCCACCCAAACACATGTTTATAATATAACAATCATTATCAAAATCAATGTCATACATAGAAAAGAGATTAGATATTTAGACAAATATAATCTCTAAATTTTTAAAACTAAAAAAAAATCATATCTTTCTCCCTTGGAAGGAAGATTCTTGATAAAATTATTGTTCAGGAATCTTATGTGTAAATAATTTTTAAAACATTTGTTAAATATTTAAAAAATTGATTTCCTTAATATTACAAATTACTTTCAGAATATAAGTATGTTTGGACGTTTTCAATTTGTATAAAATTATTTAATTTATTGTAGCAATCCAGCCTTCAAACGGACATCTGTCAATACTGACATGTACCATGACAAGCCATTCATTTTATTCCCTTTGTTCCAAGCCTTAGTATATTTTTATTTAAAACTCAAACAATATGTACACATTTTTATAGTAATTTTTTTACTATTTTATTAAACGTGAAGTTATTATTATTAAAAAAAATACATAACTATATGTCTATATTTTTATTTAATTTATTAAATTTTAATATATATTAATTTTAAAATATAATATTTATTATTGAAATTATAAATTATTGATGATAAATAAATTTGAAATAAAATTGAAAAAAATGTAATTGAAAAATAATAAAAATAATATATTTTTATTATTTTATATTTAATAATTTATTAAAAATGTAATTAAAAAATAGAAAAATAATATATATATATATAAATTATATTTTATTAATGAATTTGAGGAGTAAATTATTATAAACTATATATTTTAAAACATTTTGAGAGGGAATTACTAACAACAAAAGGAAGACAACTCCCATAAAAATAATTTATGAGTTCCTTTTTATTTTTAAAATATATAAAAAAATTTATAATATTACATATTTTTAAACAATTTATTATTTGATTTTATTTTATTAATATTTTTTTAATTTTTATTTATTTTTGAGTAACTTATTTTTATAAATTAGATGATAAAATTATCAAAAATTTAAATACTTAATATATAATTACTCTAATAAAAAAATTAAAATAAATATATTATTTAAGTATCTCAATAAATTATTCTAATTAAATATATTCTTAAAAAAATTATTATAAATCTTACGCGTATAAACATGACTCAAACTAATTTTTAAGTTATATATATATCACTTATCAATAATAAAATATTTCATTTTATTAATTCTTCCTTACATCTTGTTTTTTTTATTAATTTTTTTCCCATACAATTGAAAAATTAAATTTGTTTGTTCCCTATCTTCCTTGGTGGACACAATCAAGTTAAGTTCAAAACTACCAATCCTTGCTTCCACTCTATTTTCACCATTGAAGATCTGGGTACCTTCATCCTTCATTCTTCATCCTATTTACAATTTTCTGCAGATGCTACTTCCCACGCGATGAAGCACTGCGCCTCCGATGACAGTGGCTTGAATCATTGCGGCATTGGTTAATTTGATTTGATTTACATGAAAGTTTGATTCTTTTCATCTTTCCCTCAAAACCCACCAACCACTTTCCAACCCGTTGCCACGTTGCTTTCTTTGGATTGGTGGGATAGCCTTCACGTTTTGGGTTTGTTTGTGGGTTATAGGTTTCTTTGAGGGGCTTGTTGTAGACTACTAAGTTGTATTGTTGTTGTTGAAGATGAAGAGATTAAAAAATGAACCTTCCAATTCGAGGAGGTTAAGGTTGTCTCATTGTTTGGTTGGTGTCGGGGTGTTATACTTGGTTTTTGTATCGTGTAACTTTTCACAGTTTATGAAAGTTGTGTCATCGTTGAGTGGGGATGAGAGTTCCGGTGAAATTGGAGTGGATAGGGTCGCTGCTATTGGGGACACTGATAGTGCAGATTTGAGCAAGCCTTTTGTTAGTTCTGTTTTTCATTGGAGATTATTGGATGATAGGGACCAGGATGCTCCCTTGCGGCCAAAGGAGGAACCAATGAAGGAGGAAGATCATGGTCTTGAATCTGTGAAGCGTATTCCCCAGGGATATGGTAGGATTACCGGGGAAATCTTGCGGCGAAGGAACATGACTGGTGATTTTTCTGTGCTTGAGAGAATGGCAAATGAGGCTTGGACATTGGGATTGAAGGCTTGGAAAGAGTTGGAGCAGGTTGATAACAAGGAGGCTGGAGAAAGAATCGAAGGAAAGACCGAGTCGTGTCCGTCTTGGATATCAATGGGCAGGGAAGATTTGTTGAAGAGAGATGGCTTGATGTTTATTCCTTGTGGTCTTGCTGCTGGTTCTTCGATCACTGTAGTGGGGACACCCCGTCATGCTCATAAGGAGTATGCTCCTGTGCTAGCAAGGTCGAGGTCCGTGAGGAAAGGTGACGGATTGGTATTGGTTTCGGTTTCACAGTTTGTGGTTGAATTACAAGGGTTAAAGTCAGTGGAAGGGGAGGATCCTCCTAAGATTCTTCACTTGAATCCCAGGTTAAGAGGAGATTGGAGCAAACGACCGGTTATTGAGCATAATACTTGTTATCGAATGCACTGGGGAACATCTCAAAGGTGTAATGGTTTGCCATCTGAGAATGCTGAAGAAATGCTTGGTATGATTTTATCATGTTTCATGCTCATTTGAGCATGTTAAATAGGGAAAAAAGTGTTGCAGGATAGAGTTCCATTATCGTGATGTAGAATGGGAAGAAAACAGAAAAGTAGGTAGGTTTAGTAAACTTGAAATTGATGGAATAAGAAGATGATGACAAATGAACATGAAAATAAGGACTGTCTTGTTGCTTAGATAATTAGCCAAAGGAAACTTATCATTTGTTTGTCGCGTGCGATGAATAGAAACACAGCTGAAGTAATGCTTATTCTTGGCATACTTATATGGTTAATATATATATATATATATATAGTTGTGCAAGTTTGGATTAGTTTGTTTTGTGGTCTGAAAGGTCTTTGATCAAAATGTTACAGTGAGAGATTTTGGCTTAACATTTATCCAATCGTAACACACTTAGAATCACAACAGATGCAAGGTTGTTGTTGCATGAGCATATTTTAGGTATGTAAGGTTCTATTTCCAGATTTTGTTGATGTGGGATTCGAGGATGTAAAGATTTTTTACTAGCAGGATATTTTCGGCAGGTATCTATGATCAGTTTGAGGAATCGCTACTGTGAATAAAAAGACAAGGATAGTAAATTAATATAACTTCTCTAGTTTTATGATATGGGTATTTTTTTATGATTATTAATATTTGATAAATAATAGTATGGAAGCATAAAGAACATAGTTCTTGATTGTTTGACTATTTTATAATATAGTGGATAATGATTTTGTATAGAATGCCATTCAGTCTAAAATAATTAATTATATTGGAGTTCCAAGTCCTTTTTTTTTTCTGCAGTGCTTTTTTATCTTCTTTGTGGATGTTAATTTAATATATAAGTAATTTTTTTTGTTATCCTTGGCAGTTGATGGGCATAGGCGATGTGAAAAATGGATGCGGAATGACATTTTAGACTCAAAAGAGTCGAAGACAACGTCATGGTTCAAGCGATTTATTGGGCGTGAGCAGAAGCCAGAAGTGACCTGGCCATATCCTTTTGTAGAGGGTAGAATGTTTGTCCTTACATTACGTGCTGGTGTTGATGGATACCACATTAATGTTGGGGGTCGCCATATGACTTCATTTCCATATCGGACAGTAAGTTAATTGAGACACGACAGATATTTTCATCTTATATGCCACTAATATCTTGATGGAGTGAAATTGTATGATTCGCTTATTCATGACAATCATTATTCAAGGTGGTGAGTTTCTTAATGTTGTTACTTTTATTTTACCAATTGAAGTTGGTTGAAGGAAGAGAATTATTGAGAGAAAGTTGTCCTGATGGGTTGCCCTTGATGATTAATCTTTTATTCATAGCCTGATTACAATCAATCACTGTAGTGATCAGGGAAGTAATTAGGAGTTAACTAGAAACTGTTACAGCCTAAATTATCAGCAACTAACTTGTGGCCTTGAGTAACCAGCTAATTGACATAATGCATAATTGATTACATATTATAGCATAAATAGTAATTGTAATATTCAATATTCTAAACAGACTTCAATGACATGAATTTCATAGTGCTGAATTCCTCTTGCATTTATGTTGGGATCTGTAGAGTATATAGAAACAAAATTCTGATCTATGGTGTACCCACAGCCACATTATAATTTATACTGATGGTGATATCTCTCTTACAATTTGTCTGAGGGCCACACTTGGATTAAACTTCAAGGATAATTGAAATTAATCGCTGAATTCTATAATGCTATGTGGTTACAAGTTTTGTTCAGCTGTTCTTTCTTTCCACTTTATGATCAGGGTTTTACACTTGAAGATGCTACAGGATTGGTGATTAAAGGGGACCTCGATGTTCATTCAGTTTTTGCCACTTCTCTCCCTACTTCACATCCAAGTTTCTCACCTCAAAGAGTGCTGGAAATGTCAGATACCTGGAAAGCCAGTGCTCTACCCAAACATGCTGTTAGACTTTTTATTGGGGTTCTTTCTGCATCAAATCATTTTGCAGAACGTATGGCAGTTCGAAAGACATGGATGCAAGCAGCTACAATCAAGTCTTCGGATGTGGTAGTACGATTCTTTGTTGCATTGGTAAGGCGGCTGCCTTTTTTTGCCATAGAAGAATAGAGTTTATCTATTTTAATCTGGCATGAGCATGAAGAAATGCACGATACCATGATGCAAATTGGATTGTATAGTTTGATTATTTTATTTAGGCTTTCATTTCCCAATAAGGTCATTCATTTGGGATAATTTATTCTCACTTAGGTATTTTATTCTATTTTGAACTATCTTATGCCTGCTTAGAATAGGATTAACTTACTTTACGAAGATATTTGGGTTTGTTTGGTTCATAAGTATAAATATACCTTTTAATGTAATCATATGAGACACTATGATTATTATATGATATTGAATTTCCTTCATTCAGAGAGATGGAGAGCTCTGATACTTGAGTTGAAGGAGCACTTCCCTGATGAGTATTTTTGGTTTTTTAGTTAGGGGAATACCCTGTCTTGTGATCACTATTGGATTGTGGTACATCATACCAAGAATATTGTAGAACACTAGAACTGCTTTAAGAATTTCATGAAGAGGAGAAAACCAACCTTCTGGGGTCATTTTCTGGAAATTATGGGTAAAAGTGTGGACTTCAACGTAAAATTTTATTTGACCTTTAAGTAGGCCTGTTGTAACTTCCAATTTGATGGCAAAAAAGCTTCGGCAAATAGAATTTGGAGTCACTAATTATTTTAACCAAAAGTTTCTTAATTTCATGAGCTAGGATCTGTTCCATTCACTTGGAAAAATTTTAAGTAAAATAAACAGAAAAGTCAGTGACATAGAAGGGATCATCAGCTTTTTATAAAATTCTCACATGACGAAGAATGTTAATCACGATGCATTGGTTGTCTGGCTATAATTTTTGCTAGTATTTGTTGAAATAAATTGAGATGATAGTCGTACCTGACTTGTAGGCTGCTGAAATTGATTGTAGAAAGTAAAAGAGAAGATGAAATGTGCTCCAGGATCAGGTTTCGTAAGGCATTGAATACAGTTAGCTTCATAGAACAGCTTCTCAATTTATGATCCACATTGGCAATGGACCCACTGAGTTCAGTATATTACTAAGCTTCTAAAGCTAGTTATGATATAAATAGTTTATATTTGCATGACATTGTTGTTTTGTTTGGATTATCCTTTAGTAAATATATTGGTTGATTTATGGGAACCATTATTGCTTGTGCACATTACTTACTATATTTGTAATCCACCTCTGTATTGGTTATTTATAATATAATTGTTACTATAATGCAATTTCTATAGTAAATAAATGCATTTATTTTGGAGTTCTATGAAATATAATGCAAATTGTGAACATAAATTCTTCTCGATTTAACCAGTTATGTTATTGTTTGGAATTCAAGGGCTTTCTCTGTTTTTCTTTTCTTTTCACTATTATTATTATTATTATTGATATGATATGGCTTATTTGTCTGTTTTGTTACCTGTTATAATTTCTAAACATCAACGTGAAGAATCCAAGGAAGGAAGTAAATACGGTGCTGAGGAAAGAAGCTGCTTACTTTGGTGACATTGTCATTTTGCCCTTTATGGACCGCTATGAGCTTGTTGTGCTTAAAACCATGGGTATTTGTGAGTTTGGGGTGAGTTCATTTTCAAATCTCTAGTCGGATTTTGTGCTTCTTTTCTTCTATTATTTACAGTTATTGGGGGCAATTGAATTGAATTTGTCCAGCTAATATCTGTCAGCTTCCCTTAAAATGTACAACTCTTATTGCTCCCATTCATTTTTATCTTGTCTCCGGTTTTATAAGCCAATTTTTTTCATGCAGATTCAGAATGTGAGTGCTGCATATATCATGAAAGTTGATGATGACACTTTCGTCAGGGTGGATACTATCTTAAAAGAAATTGAAGCTGTACCCCGGAAGAAGCCCCTTTATATGGGTAATCTCAATCTCTTGCATCGCCCTATGAGAAACGGCAAATGGGCTGTTACATATGAGGTATTGTAGTTGTCACATTTAGTTAAACTTGTAGGTAGCATGCAAGTGTGTACATTTCTGCTTGGTTATTGAAATGAGAGTGTTCCAGCATTTAATGGAGCTTAAAAATAGGGATAGGTGTTAAAAATATGCACGTGAAACTTGTTTTTGCCCAAAATAGGGTCTTAAAGACGGGGTAAAAAATGTAGTCCTTCTGCATTGATAGCTACATACCAGTACCACCAACTCTATCTATAGACAGACTATGGAACCATAGGTGGAGTAATTGATATCTTAAACTTGTAACTGGCACAAGGATGTATCTATAACTATATTTTAACTGGAATTCAGGGCCCTGCCCTACACTGTTAGACTGCTACTTTTTATCCTAAGTGTTACATTTTGTGTATTTGATGTATTATTGATGTGAGAAATCTTGTAGCAGTAACATAATAGAATGCATAGAATATTCCTGAGAAATTATTCCATCTCTATGTATGTGGCATGTATCCGATTTTTTCAATTTATGCAAAAGAAAAACCAATAACACACTCTAAAGTGTCATAACCTCCTTCCTCTTATCTTACTGAATATATTAATTGGCACAGGAGTGGCCTGAAGAAGTATATCCTCCTTATGCAAATGGCCCTGCATACATACTTTCCAGAGACATTGTTACTTTCATCATATCTCAACACAAGGAGAGGAGACTGCGGGTTTGTAACCAGAACTTTATCTCTTAATTTTTCATCCTTCAGACCTATTCTGTAACCACTCCAGTTCCTCTGTGTTATCAGTACACATTATTGATTGATGAAACATTTGATTCTTGTGGCAGCTCTTTAAGATGGAGGATGTAAGCATGGGAATGTGGGTTGGGAGATTCAACAATACAGTGGCCGCGGTTCAGTACTCCCACAACTGGAAGTTTTGTCAGTATGGATGCATGGAAGGGTACTTCACAGCACATTATCAATCACCAAGGCAAATGGTCTGTCTACGGGACAAATTGTCACAAAGTCGCGCAAGATGCTGCAACTTCAGATGATTTGCTGTTGTATATTTGAAACTGTTGTACCTACTTCACAGACTAGTATTAAAGAAAGTTATTACACATTCAATGTGAACGAAAAATAGAATTTAGCATGGTGTTCATATGGTCTTCATACTATTGCCAATTTTTTTTTTGTTTTAAAATATCATCGGGCTTTTGAAACCGAATTTGGCACACCTTAACAAAAAGGTTAACACATCGCTAGTATTCGCATCATGATTTGTTCAGTTAAGGAATATTTCCTTCTGCATTCCATTAATTTCTCAGGTTATCTTTCACTCATTTGGAACAGGCATTTTGACATATTAAATATAATTCTTGTGAGTGTTCGTGATCATTCCACACTTGTGACCATTGTTGCTACACATACATATTTTACTATTTCCTTAAAACGTGAAATGAAAGCTACTAAAAGCAGGGAACATTCAGCACTTTCGCCAGCAAAATTTGAACTTATTACATAATTTTTTAATAACAAAATTTGTACTGGTAGCTGTTGAACACCTTTTAAAAATGAAATAAAAAGCATAGAGCTGATTCTCCTGAAAATCAGAGACATATTGCTGCATCATGATTGATGACAATGGCTCCACCAAAGTATAGAACAGAGAAAAGGATTTAATTTATTGCTTTATTATCCTTACAACCGTGTCCACCGCGTGTTTCAGTTCAAAAAACTCAAGGTGTATGGTCCCTCAACTCTCTACCCCACCACACTCTTCTCATTGTCACCCAAAACCACCCATTCTCGTTTCTCTCAGTAGGTGGCACGTGCCATGGCCCTCTTCACGTGGTATTACCTCATCCAACCAAAAAATACATAAACTAAATTTCAGAAACGTGTCATGACAAATCCCAAAATTTAAAAGAACACACAAAATTATTTGTAAAATATCAATCACTAAAATGTTTAAATCATATAAGAGAAGCAACAAGGTATAAAGAATTTATATTTCTTATGAAAAGAAAATCTGGTTTGAATGGTCTTAAAGTTAGGTATTTATATCCTATTAGCATTAGCATCGCTTCCATTCTTATCTATCCAATATGTGGACCCCACTTTCTCTTCCTGTGTCCTCTGTCGGCAACACAACCATGTGCCACCTGTCCTTGTGCCACGCTGTTTCCTCATTGTTAAGGTAAAAGGCTACCTCGTCGACAGCAACATACGTGTCTGTCTAACAAATCGTCAATTTGGATTGGACTCACCAGTTCTACAAATCTGGAACTAGAATATTACCAGTTAACTGATTTTATCCATATTACATGAAATTACCACAATGCCCTTGCTTTAATCATTCACTTCCTCTTTCTCTGGTAACTACAAAAAAAAATATCATGCACGTTATGACCCACATAATTTTTTTTCCAATCAAAACTCAAGTTCCATATGTAATTAATTAATATAATATAATCAATCATTTATAATGGGTAATGATGACACAATGCAAATACAACTATGCTATCTACTACTATCATATTTTATACTATTTATTAAACTATTTGCTCAAATTTGAAATGTGTTGTATATCTTAATTATATATGTATCAGTCAATTTTGTTTAATAAAAAAACTCATTACTTTTACATTTTTAGTAGTTTGACTTTGTTTCTAAAAGAATCTATATACATATTAATATCATCCACGATTGCTGTGAGGTGTGAATTCTTGTGAGTCAACTTTTTTATTTTCAAACAAGTATATTTGCCTGATGCTAATAGCTTGATTATTCTTACAAAAAAAAATAGATTATGCACCAAACACGTGAAAATAAAATTGTCTGTGTATCACATTAATGAGTTTACTTTTGACGCTGTTAATGAAAAAGTCACACGCTGTTAATAAAGTATAGAAAAAGTCATTGCCTTATTTTGTATATATATAAGCATAAAACATTGGACGATATTTCCGAAACAAAAAATACTTTTTGATGGACTACACCACCTTGTGTGGTCCGTGCTTTGTATTATTAAGGTGAAGTGTGTTGGAGGTATTCATGAAGCTTTACTGGCAAGGAAGAGATGGGTTTCTGGTAAAATCCACCTAAAAAACAAGTTTATTGAACATACGTTGGGAAGACGTACATATACGCATAGGCATGCATATTTTCATAGTTTTGTCTTTTCTGTGCATAAATTGGTTTCAAACATTAGAAAGTATAAGCCTGCTAAAGATTTTCAGAAGGCAAATAATGAAGATGGTGAATGGGCCAATTTTATTTTCTTTGTGAATGGTGGAATATAGAATGAATAATGTAGTAGATATGTGAATTGTGAATAAAATAATTGGTATAGTACGAGCAGTAGTATTTAGACTGTGAGCTGTACTTAATAATGAATGTTTATTTTCAATGGAAATCTACTTTAGTGTTCCTTCATCGACACATATTGAACTCTTCTGATGGAGAAAGGTTTGTGTAATAAAAAGAAAGAAATATATGATACACATAAAATATCTTTGACTACCTTCAGAACCCCATGGACAACGCGTGAATTCCCGGTTTTTTCTCCTCTTCTTTAAACTTTAGTCAAAATTTGGGTGGTTTGAGGGAACTTTGTTGCTACTCGAGAATTCAGAAGGAGAAAAAAAAAATCTAAATTTAACTAGATCTACGCAGTGTTCTTAGCATTCATCAAAAAACACTATCCAAATTATTGAGGGGTAATATTGGTATTGAGGTACAAAGTTTTGTCCTTTTCAATAAATCTACATCACCACCGTTTGGCATTATTTCCGCGCTTACACACACTCATCTCACTCTTCATTTCCACGCAAACGCATTCTTCAAACTCAACATAACATGAAACCTTCATTAAATTACATTAATTGAACACAAGCAATCCAAAACGTAAAGGTGCCCCACAACACAACTACCACCTTTGCTCAAAATATCTCCTTTTTTGTATTCATTTTTCTTTCATCTTCTTTCTTCGTGTCATTGCCGTTTGCTATTGTTCCTGCATAAACACCCACCCTTTTATTATCATACTTCGTAACCGTTTGCAACGGTTGGTTTGAATGAAGGGAGTGGAAACGGCTGTGGGGCATTTATTGATGTGGATCAAGTGAGGGACTTTGTGTTGTGTTGTGTTGTGTTGTTGTGGAGAGAAGTGAGAGGCCCAGATGGATTTTACTTCGTTCTTGACGTCCCTGGGGACTTCATTTGTGATATTTTTTATTTTGATGATTGTGTTTGCGTTTCTATCGAGTAAGCCTGGAAACAATGTGGTGTACTACCCCAACAGGATCCTCAAGGGGTTGGATCCATTGGAAGGAGGGTCCAAGAGCCGCAACCCTTTCTCTTGGATCAAGGAGGCCATGTCTTCTTCAGAACGTGATGTTATTACCATGTCTGGGGTTGACACTGCCGTCTACTTTGTCTTTCTCACCACTGGTTTCTCCCTTTTCCCTTTTTTCTATCTATATATATCTGCCTGCTGCAAAACTTCCTCTTTGTTGAAGCTCTTAGCCTGAAACTTGGATATGGTGTTATAGGTAGTTTCTGGTCTTGTTCTCTCATAAAAATTTGAGTTTTATCTAAATGAAACTTAAATTTTGATATAAAACTCAAATTTTGATTGAAGAATAATACCAAAAGCACATGAAAATCTTCATAATATTGTCTCATCACATTTTCCCTGATATAAACAAAATTGTTTTCTTTTTTCACTAATAATTAAAATAATACTGCCTTTCTTCCCTTTGTTTTCTGATTTTGATGATTTGTACGGAAACAACAGCATTTCATTGTATTCACTAGTCACTATTCATCGGTTTCACATAGATTTTCAAACCAATTAGTTACACAGGTTTTTAAATTGGTTTACCCTTTAAGAGCTGAAACTGGGTTCTATAGAAACATGAATCCTCAGGAATGAGTTTTGGATAGAATTTAGGGAACTGATTTAAGGAATACTTGAAGTCTCAAGCTTTGGTCTTTGTCTCATGTTCGTATGAATGTGATCCATACTGGTTTCACAGAAAACTGGGAAAGAAAATTTTGAATTACATTAAGAAATCCATATGTTCTTTCAGTTTGCATTTGTAGTAATTGTTGAGTTTTTTTCCTGATTTTGAGGTACATACGGTTATTTTCCTGCAACTCTGTTCATCTTTTTTCTGCTATTTGTTCAGGATAGTGCATTTTTAAATTGGTTACGACAACCCGATTCTTGCTTTTGTGAGCAAAATGCTAGACTCTATGCATTGCTTACCTGTGACCCATGTGGCTTGTAGACTATAGCATTGCGTTTTCATTCTCAAAATATGTTTTGAAATCACATGACATAGAAAGAGAAGACAGGTCTTCTCCACCATAATATTTTACCGAGTACTGATGTATAGATAATTCATTATAAAAAAAATGACCATTTCACAATGTCTACTATCAATATAATAAAAATATTTATATTTTTGTTCCTCTCTCTCACTCACCAGGGTTGTCTCTAGATTGTTTATGTAGTGGGTTGTCAAATAATCCTTCTCCTATTTTTTTTTCCCTACACATATGTTTGTCTGGTGGTAAAATTTCATATTTTGCAATTGTTATCTATAACATGTTTATGGGATGAGCAATGAATCAAGCATCAAGTTTTTAATTATTATTATTATTATTATTGTTTTCTGCTAGTGTTGAGTATCCTAGTTTTATCTGGAGTTATTCTGCTACCGGTTCTTTTGCCACTTTCTGCTACTGATAATGCTATGAAGAGACAAGGTGCGAAGACACAAACGACTAGCAAAGGAACTTTCAATGAACTTGACAAGTTATCAATGGCTAACATCACTGTAAGATCAGTGTTGCATTGCGTTTTTTTCAAATAATATTATAGTCAATCTTCCCTTTATTACACTAATTAGCTATGTGTGTATGGATATTTTTCCTGAGTTGAACGGCCAATGAGTTTCTTTAATACCTACAAATGATAATAATGCCAGAGACTGAATAACTTCTGGTCTGTGTAGGCAAGGAGTCCGAGGCTGTGGGGATTTTTAGTTGCATGTTATTGGGTTTCAATTATTACATATGTTCTCCTATGGAGGGCTTACAAACATGTGTCATGGCTGCGAGCCGAAGCTCTTAAGTCTCCTGATGTGAAGCCTGAACAATTTGCCATAGTGGTGAGAGACATACCTCATGCTCCTCAAGGTCAGACTAAGAAAGAACAGGTTGATGCTTATTTTAAAGCCATCTATCCGGAGACATTTTACAGATCTATGATTGTAACAGACAACAAAGTGGTAAGTTGCCCGTGAAATGCCTTTTACCATACCCTCTGGATTAACTTCACTATTTCTGATTACATATCAGAATTTTGAAAGATGATGCATGTAACACCCATTTGGTGTGGCATACATCATGGAGATGAAATAAAATGGGGAGAATTATATAGAAGCAGCCCATTATATTGACTAATTCGAGAGATGCAAATGTCTAATGATTTTGTTGTGACAGTGATGTAAATGTGTAAATAGTCTATGATGACGTTTTTTTCTTAGCTTTTTTCTCACCGAATATTGCAGTATCTTATTGAATTGGTCAAAATTTATTGTCAACAGGTGAACAAGACTTGGGAGGCCTTAGAAGGGTATAGGAAGAAGCTTGCCCGTGCCGAAGCAATATATGCAGGGTCTAAAACAACTGCAAAACCAGAAGGAACAAGACCTACAACCAAGACTGGCTTCCTTGGACTTTTTGGTAAAAAGGTGGATAGCATAGATTATTACAATGATAAGATTAATGAAGCTGTTACAAAATTGGAATCTGAGCAAAAGGTCACTCTCAGAGAGAAGCAGCAAGACGCTGCTCTGGTATTTTTCTCAAGTAGAGTGGTTGCAGCATCTGCAGCTCAGAGTTTGCATGCACAAATGGTTGACACTTGGTCAGTCTTTGATGCTCCTGAACCCAGTCAACTAATATGGCCTAATTTGAAAATCAAGTATTTTCAGAGAGAGCTGAGGCAGTACTTGGTGTATGTCATTGTGGCGCTGACTATATTCTTCTACATGATTCCAATTACATTTGTATCTGCATTTACTACTTTAGATAATTTGGTGAAATATCTCCCATTCATAAAGCCAATTGTTCGTATAAAGGTTTTGAGAACGGTGTTGGAAGCTTACCTCCCTCAACTTGCGTTGATGATTTTCCTGGCAATGTTGCCCAAGTTGCTTCTGTTTTTGTCTAAATTTGAAGGCATTCCAACTGAAAGTCATGCAGTTAGAGCTGCATCTGGAAAGTATTTTTATTTCATCGTGCTGAACGTTTTCATTGGAGTTACTATTGGTGGAACCTTGTTCAAAGCGTTCAATAGAATTCAGAAGAACCCAAACATAAATGAAATTTCGTCCTTGCTAGCTGAAAGCCTCCCGGGCAATGCTACTTTTTTCTTGACCTATGTGGCCCTTAAGTAAGATCTCTTCCTAACTTTATTTTATTTAGGAAACGTCCAAGGCTTAAAAAATTTAAAAATGGTGTTCTACATTATTTCTTGTTATTAATTTTTCCTATATTCTTTTGAAGTAGAAGTTACTGTGTTTTTAAAAGCATATCTGTAACATATTTTTCTCACATGATTTGTGTGTAAGATGTAAAGTTTAAAATTTGGACTATTCCTACTATATTAGATATATAAAAAGAAAAGGCTTTACCTTTTTTTTTTTTTAACTTTAAATACTTGACATGACACAGATAAACTGATTTTTTTCTTTTTATGTTTTAGATTTTTCGTTGGCTATGGCCTTGAATTGTCCCGAATTGTTCCTCTTATTATATACCATTTGAAGAGAAAGTATCTTTGCAAGACCGAAGCTGAGTTAAAAGAGGCTTGGCATCCTGGAGATCTTGGTTATGGAACTAGAGTTCCTGGTGACATGCTGATTGTCACAATTGTCTTCTGTTACTCTGTTATTGCTCCTGTGATAATCCCATTTGGTGTGCTATATTTCGGCCTAGGATGGCTTGTACTGCGAAATCAGGTGGAGTTCTTGGAATTTTGTTTAATGAACCCAGTTTTATGTTTTCTTATGGCTAACTTTTACTTTTAATTCCTTATGCATACTCCTTTATTGGTTTTAGTTATGTTATGGTCCTTCTTATCAAGTTATTTTGAAATCACATCTGTTAGTAAATACTTTTTTACGAGTTTATGTATACTTGTATTAATCAACAGGCCCTCAAAGTCTACGTACCAACATATGAAAGTTATGGAAGACTGTGGCCTCACATACACAACCGAATAGTAGCATCTCTGATATTATACCAAATTACCATGTTTGGGTACTTCGGGGCACAGAAATTCTACTATACACCACTTGTGCTTCCTCTTCCCTTTTTGTCACTGCTCTTTGGTTTTGTCTGTGCAAAGAAATTCTACCCCGCCTTCCAACATCCAGCACTTGATGTTGCAGCTAATTCTCTGAAGGAACCTCCCAATCTGGATTTGATTTTCAGATCTTATATTCCACCAAGCTTGAGTTCTGAAAAGATAGAAGATGACAGGTTTGAAGATGCATTGTCTTCAGTTTCGAGAGCAACACCTGTTTGATGTAATTATCTGAATTTCAACTCCTTTTTACGTTTTAGTTGTAGTCTTATAGGGATACTTTTAGATATGTTATTCATTGTTCATAATACGTCTTAGGAACCACGGTGTTGAGTTTTAACTGTTCTGATTGTGATTGTGTAAGAAAATGTTAGATTGTCTGGTAATATTTCCATGCAATGTAATGTGATGTTTGTTCGACTTGTAATAGTTGCAGATCAGTGTTATGGTGTTCAGTATGCAATTCATGATTTTCTTTATTAGTACTGAGTGAGAACCGATATGGCTTTTCACTTCGCGTCAAATTAACAATGTTGAATATTTTATTGAAAAGGAGTTTGTGGTAGGTCTTACAACGTTCCAAATGTTCACTGCCATCGAAAAAGTATCAATACCAGGATACGTACGATTTTTATAAAATTGTCCACAATCCCTTTCCCGAAAAAGTTTGATATTTCAGCCAAAAGAAGTATGTAAAAGGAAATTAATTAAATATGTGCTTTTGAGCCTGCAGACAATCCAGTCCCCATGTGACAGGAGTTCTGTTAGACCTCCAATAAAAGTGTAAAGTAGGAGAAAGTGTTAGGCTCGATTCATGCGGATTTTTATCTCTTAAAGCAGTTATACTGCTGTAAACAAGGAATCCGTTGAGTAGGAGTAGTGCTTGTTAATTAATGAAGTAGTGGAGAAGGCAATTGCTGGAGGAGCAATGATGCTGCTGTGAATAAGGATGTGTGTAGTTAAGAGTTTCTTTTTCTACCCCATTTCAAAACTAAGGTTATTTCTCTACCTTTCTGCTGCCTTTTTTTTTTTAACCTTTCACAAACTTCTCTAAATTTATATAAGAAAATAATGTTATATATCCTTCTCGTTGATGCAGACCTTAACTGATTTTTTATGCAATTATATAAATTCAAGAAGATGAAAACTAATGAAAAAGCCCAAATATTGAGTTTAATTTCAGTCAACCTCAAGGTGAGTGTAATTTGCCCTATCATTTATGCTAAAAAGTGAAAAGATTTGTTGAACAGAATATAACGTATAAGCTATTGGAAGCCACACTTCACATGGAGCTTAATTTCAAAAGATGGAAACATTGGAAAGAGTAACAAATTGCATTAGTAAATATGATCACCATAGTTACACACTGTTTAATTCTGCTTTATTGAGGATATAGAAGATCAATGTAATGTCCCAGTTATGCCAGCATGGGGATACTCCAAACCATGAGAATTAGGGCTAAAAGATAAATATCTGTAACTCATACAAACAAATGCTAGCAACTGTACAACTTTTAGCTAACATCTGTTTAAGATTAATTTTTGGAGCAAACAAATGGACTAAGGGCAAGAAGCCAACAACGAGGAACAATCAGCTAAATATTAGGTAGCTCTGGTAGTTTGTACACCATAAGATACTCATCAACTCCAGCAACCTTTCCACGATCAACTTCCGCAAGGTTGCATCAAAATGACATTAGGTGGAAATTGCTCATTTCGGTATTTGCTTCACAGCTGAATTAACATATGGCCATACAAAAGCTGTGTTTAAGTCTATTCAGAATGCTCAGAGGCAACATTTTATCAGAAAAGGAGCTAGTGGCACCTTATCATCATATCAGTGTTTATAGAGTTAACACCTAATCAGGTACCCCTCCATTCACATTGCAAGTTAAATTAGTCGAGAAGAAGTTGAGAGAAAATCTCCATGCAAATGCAACTATTTATCTGCATTATCACCCGTTCAAAAGAATCAGCTGTCTCATCAGTGCAAGAAATTAACTAAGCTTGACTCCAACAAAAGGGGCGTTATATGCATCTTATGCTTCTTCAAGCAAACGCATTAGAATAAACCCTATCTTATGCTTCTTCAAGCAAACGCATTAGCATAAACCCTATCTTATGCTTCTTCAAGTAAATGCATCAGCATAAAACCTATCTTAAGCTTCTTCAAGCAAATGCGATGCATAAAACCTACTCCCGGCACGCAACATACAACTCATCCAACAAACTCATGTGCATCTTCTCACCCATGGAAGGATCCCTCTTTTTGCATTCATCAAGTAATTCAAACGCCTCATCGACCCTTCCCTCCCGACACAACCCTTCCAAAACAGTCTTGTAAGTGAGATGATCAGGGGACCTAGATTGCCCCAACATATCAAACACAACCTCAATGGCATCCTCAAACCTGCGCTCCATCGCAAGACTACACACAATTATCACATAAGTACTAGTACTAGGCACAAGACCTTTCTCTCTCATCTCCCTATAAAACCCCAACCCCTGACTAATCCTCCCTTTCTCACACAACCCCTTGGCAATGTAGCCATAACTATAAGCATTAGGCTCACAGCCATACAACCCCATTTCGCGAAAAACCCGAACCGCCTCATCCACCTCCAAGCACATGGCATAAGCCTTGATGATCATGTTCAATACAAAAGTATCAGGAATAACACCGGAAGCCTTCATTTGTTTAGTCAATGACCTAACCGCGTGCAGATACACGTAACAAACATGCAACTTATTGAACCTCCGAAGCAGCGAATTGAACAAAAGGGAGTAGGTTTCGAGGTTAGGTTTACAATCGTTAGAAGTAAGCATCTTCTTGTAGACATCGAAGGCACGATTGAAGAGGAATTTGCGACCGCAGCAGAATCGGATGATAGAGTTGTAGAGAGGGACAGAGACGTCGTGGCAGGCGCCGGCAATGACCTCCTCGATTAGCGTTTCGGCGTGCCGGTATCGCCGGCCGGCGACAAGGTGTTTGATGATAAGGAGGTAGGTGTGGCTGGTGTGCTTGTAGTTGCGCTGCTGCGCGGTCCAACGGAAGATATCGAGGGCGAGGTCCGGGTCGGATTGGGCCTGCAGGGCATGGGCCACGTCGGAGGGGGTGAAACCCGGTTTCAGGGCCTGGACCCACGTCTCGAATTGTTTCTCCAATGGGGTTCTCGATGGTTGGGTGGAGGATGGGCGCACGTAGAGGAGGAGGCGCGTGAGGGGGAGAAAGGGTTGTGGGCGCGTGGATGAGTTGAGGGAATAAGCGGTGGCGGCGGAGCAGAGGGTGAAGAGGCGTTTGGGGATGATAATTGCCATTTTGTCAGAAGAAGGAATGGGAAAGGCTGGGAGTGATTGAGAAGAACATTCTTTTGCTGGCTACTCACCCTATCACACCAATGGCTTCTTCAGAATTCAAATAAACCCTAATAACCATTTTAGGGTTTCTAAAACTTAAATGTTACAAAAATAATTCTACACTAAATAGGTAGCAAATAGGGTGACTTGTAGCAACAAAAATAGAAAATTTTCAATTTAAAACATGCATCTCTTATTTATACAACTCACCTGATCCATTTCTAATTTTTATTTTTATTTTTCAAATTGAGCTAATTTATTTTTAACTTCACTCGTTCTAACAGGCACAATAGCAATTGATAATTTCTTACAAAAGTTTTTTTAATATATCAATTACTGTTTTTTATTGTAATAATTATCTATAATTATTAATAAAGGGGTTTAATTGTTTTATTATATATATATATATATAATTTATTGATTTCGTTATATCAAAATGGGCTACTGGAGTCACTCTCACTGTGATCCATAAATATAGATATTATGAAAACTGTGCAAAGAGTAGTAAAAATGAATGTAATGGACTAATGTGTGTAAATTGGCTTATCTTATAGAAAATCAACATACTATGATCCGTTTAATTTTGTCCTAGCATTTGAGACTACAAATATAAATACATTTGTTTTAAAACATAAATGTATGTTTTTCTTTTCAATATTATTATGAAATCATCAAATACCAAAATATAAATACTTCAAATGTTATAAACTAATCATGATAACAAATTTAAAGTTGAAAAATGGATGCTAAAATGAAAATTTCCGACCACTATTGTCCTTGTATACAACTAAAAATCACACATAATTTTAGAATTAAAATAATAGTAATTTATAACATTTTTGTTTCATTTATCCTACATAAAAAAAAATTATTACATAATTTTAATACTACAAAATTAACCATATCTGGCGTGTGATGGTTGTTACAGTATCAAAGAACTATAAGTCAAAATATGTTACAAACAAATCAAAGTTTTATAGAAATGTCTAAGTCTAATGCACAATGGTACATAAATTATATGGTAAAATATGTTATACAACACATTATTCAAGTATTTTTTTAAAATATTTATTTTTATTCTTAAATAACTATTATTAATATTAAAAATGTTTTTAAATTAAAATTATTGTAACGGAAAATTTAATAGTAGTTATTAGTATTAATTATTTTAAATAAATTTTTGTTGGAGAATTTTATATAACATTAAGTTATTTAAATATTTTTTCATAGTTATTTGATTAAGTAATTTATAAAAGTAAATAAAGAGAAATAGATTCTTTTAATTTATTAAAAATTATTTTATTGAAATAAAATTAATGATAAAATATTTAAGAATATTATGACATAATAAATCTATATCTAATATTTAAAAAAAAATAAGAAACATTAAAGATATCTTCAAAACTTAAAATTGTAACTTGATGTGGAATATTAGTCACTCACCACTATCCATATATGAGACTAATAATCAAATGAAATATAACTAATCAAATCCATCTACGTAATAATAAAAAATGTTTTAAGTTAATATAAAATAATTTTGTAGTTGTACCTTTTTGGTTTATTCTCCATATAAAAAAATATAATTTATTAATTTATTGATATAATCTTAATTTCTTTTAAAATCCTGACAAGACATCACATATATTAATTTTATTTACTTTATAGTTTTATTGCCCACATAATTTATTATTATTATTATCATTGATGTTGTTAAGATTTGTAGATTAAGAATAGTTACAATTAAGATGAATTTTTAATAGTGCACCCCGTTTCAAAGTTATCAGTCCCAAGTGTGAAAAGTAGAGATGATCCAACAATTAATCTATGATATAGAGTTTTAATATTGAACTAGAAAATAGGTGCATGGATTATTTATATTTGTTATTTATTTACTTCCAAAATTAATTTTAGTTTAGACTCATTTAGATAATACATGTGAATACTTTTTGGGTTAAAAGACTAATAAAAATCGAACCTGTAAAATTGTGCATACTATTCAAACATATTAACAATAAAATACCCTATCAATTTATTCCATGGGAACAAACTTTTATAAATATATATAATTTTACTCTTGTTTCTTAATTTATTAAATTTTGTTAGGAAACTAAATTAGTCATTCAATTAATTTGATAAACTTAATAATACGTGACAAATTTTGAAAAACATAGTTGTTTTGTAATTTAATATTTATATTTTGAAAATAATTGCTTTAATTTAAGGTGTATCAACGAAATTCAACCCTACAGGGTAGTTTTGTAATAACAGAGAGGGTTGTTTGTGAGGGAATTCGCGAATTGGGCGAAGAGAAAGATTCCATTAAAACAAAAATTCAAAATTTTAAACTAACCTAGCAAAGGGCTCAGTCTTACCTCCGTTGAACAAATAGTGTTTGGGAAGGGAAGAGGGGGAAGATTCAGTGAGTGAGTGAGTGTGGAATTTGAATCATTGTTGTTGTTGTTGCTGCATAAAAGGAAAGAAAAGAAAAGAAAACCTAGCTATCTGTGAATGATGTCTGGGAGCAGAAGAAGGTTGGAGTTGGTGGTGAAGAACAGGTTCATGAGTTACATGATCTGGCAATCCATTCCTTCGTCTCTCCTCTTCCTCACTTTTCTCTCCCTCCCCTTCTCTTCACCTCACTACCCTCTCTTCTCCTTCCTCCTCTTCCTCTCCTCCCACCTCTTTTTCTCCTCCACTCTCTCCCTCCTAGCCGCCCCCCATCCCCGCCCCCGTCTCCCCCTCTCCCTTCTCTTCGCCACCGCCACCGCCTTATCCGCATCCCTCTCCCTGCCAGCCGCCGCCCACCCCTCCTCCCCTTTCCCCCGCTTAGCCCTTCGGGGCTTCCTCATTGGCTCCCTCTATGCATCGCATTACCTTTTCCAACGCCGATGGCTCCTCCACTTCCCCATCATCCAGGTCTCTCACTCTCTTCCTTATTTCATTCACTGTTATTAATAAATTCATAATCTTTATGCGCTCTGATTTGTTGCCCCTTGTGGTGCAGCGCCCTCCCTTTTTCAGCTTCAAGATGGGTGTTCCTTCTGCTGCTCGACAAGCCTTCAAGCTTACCGTTCTTGCTTTAGTTATCTCCGGTATTTTGCTGGAGCTTCTGCCGCATCCGTTTAAGTACGGCGTCGCCACCACGAGATTTTTTGTGGAGCAGATAACCTCTTTTGCTGCCACTTTTGCTATTTTCTTCTCTTGGGAGTTGACTCATCATTTGCATTGGGTTGGTTTTTCTCATACTAATGATCCCTACATGTTTGTTGATATGCCTAGAAGAAAGTAATCCCGGTGCTCATGCACTTGTCTGTTTTAGGTTTTATTTATGTGTTTGCCATGTTGTCGAGCTCGTTCAACCTTGGTTCAGTGGTCTGGAGATGTGATCTTTTAAAATTTGGGATCTCCATCGTGTACATTGGATTTTGGTTGTGTATACAGCTTACCTACTTATATATAATGTTCATGATGAGTTAGTAGAACTGATAATCTAAGTTTAATTGATAGTAGTTTTTGTTCATTACATTGTGGTAGACTCACTAAACAATGTACAATCCAACTTGTTTACATGTGCATGCAACATTATATGAGAAGCATCTTTGCCAAAACAAATTTGAGTTATAGTTTTATGTTAACTATCCATAATGAATTGGATGAGGTGTTTTTTGAAGTTGGGACTTTGAATTGGATGAGGTGTTTTATGAGCATTTATATCCCTAGCCTTTTGAAAGGCAGCATCGTTACCGAATGCTGAAGTTTCTATTTTGGTTGAATATGCTATACATAGGTTTTGCATACTAAGAGATCCATATTTGCACCTCCAAAAGGATCAGCGGCAGCTGAGACAAATCCAAGTGAGCATCTCCTTTCAGCTTTGGAGGAAACTAATCCTACATCACTTCTACGGTATCTTGCATATCTTGATCTCTGTATGGTTTGCGAGAACAATGTTGACACTTGGAGGCGTGCGGGGTTTTTTGAAGAAACCAGTGAAACTTACAAAAGAGTAATTGCTGTGTGCTTGAGGCCGTTGGAACATCTTGCGACTAAATTAGGTGAAGGCTCTGGAAATCCCGTTGACAAAGCTACTCAACTATCAAATCAGCTGTTGTCTCCAACAGATGCACGGCCAGATTTGAAGAACGTGGAAGAACTGTACAACTTCCAGGTACCTGTATAACTTCATTGTATTTGTATAGTTTATATGAAGCTAAAAAACAACTATTTTTCTCCTCCGTATAACTGGAAAGCTTCAGGCATTTGGGTTAGCACTGAATATTGAACTTCATTTTTCAAGGCTTAGCGTTAGCATACCTAAAATGTCTTTCAGGCCTCCCTGTTTGATGTTAATTTTTACCTGTGGCATGGACTATGGTTAAAAAACTTATTTTTTTGGTTGTGGAGCCAAAATAAGCAAATTTGCAGGGAGTGTGATGAGAAATGTAACATTATAAGAAGAAACATGTAGATTGAAATAAAAACTCTAAACCCTAAAAGTTTTTTTGTTAAGTTGTAACATTGATTAGTAAACAACCAGAAACCTCATCTTCTAGCTTTAAACACAAACTTCTGCCTTAAAAATGGAAGTGTGCACATTAAATGACGTCCTTACATTAAGGGGAAATCGAAAATATCTATGGTTCTGAATGGTGATACGATACAATAACCTAATATTCCTAAGTTTATTAATTTTTTAGGCCTATTACTAGCTAAGGATAACTAGTACTAGCCCATTCTACTTTCAGTTTTAACTTGATTATAATTATAATACCCTAATATTATATCGATTTTCAGTATTTGACATGTATTAAATGTGAAATACCTCCCACAGCCAATCATTGTGTGGTTGATATTTAAACCATCCCTCTTCATATGTAAGGAAAAAACAAATTCAGGGGAGTTATTTCAACACTTTATACATGTAAAACTCATATTTTCTGAGCTAGGATTATGTTGATCTTTAGATAATGCAATAACTATATTTATGCCGGTCATTGACATGAATTGCAACCTTATAAATTTGATTAATTAATAACCAATGGTTGAATAGTCACTTGTTTAACTTTTCTGTGACAAGAAGCCTTCTAGTTGTGGGGCAACAAAGCAGCTCACTTCCAGCCTTATGAATTTATAGATAACATATTAAAAACATTTGTTTGTTTAAATGCAGCTATATGCATGGTGTTCAAGGAGCGTTGCCTCACTGACTGCCTGCTCACGTAAAGAAGACAAGTTTGGGGTCGCTCAGCTTTCCGGGAGTAATGCTGCCGTGGTCTCAACACTTCTGTCCTGCCTTCTTGCTGTTGAAAATTTCATGGGAAAGAAAACAAACCTGCAATCCCCAAATCAGGTTTTGGGACCTGCTGGTATCAAATGGGCAACTGTGAATAGTGGAAGAGTAGATGTTGCAGCTGGTAGGAGAAGAAGTGGTCCAGTAAATTCGAAAGCTTATGCTATTGCTGATGTTCTCAAGACTTCAATATACCAAATAGTCTCTGCATTCCATGATGAAATGTTGGCTGGTGCTAAAGCAAATCTTCTGGAGAAGAACTGGATAACAACTGGGAAGCCACTTTTTGGTACTCGGGAGATGCTAATACAAAAATTACGTATTTTTCTTGATTTTCGAGCTACCTAACTGCTGCAGTGTAGCGTATTTTGAATACTTCTTTCCTGAATTAAACATGCTTGTAAGACATTATACGCACAGGATGTTGACAAGTGAGAAGATATAGATTGAATCAAGGAAAAGGTGCAGTTTTGCTGTCAGAAATTTGAGATGAAGGATATTAATCTCGTGAGATTTTGTTGTAAGATATCGGCATTGGCTGGTAAGTGATCATTTGGATGAGCTTTTTGAGGAATGCACTGATTCGTTTTTTAAGGTAGTTTTTTGTGCTCATAAGAAGTTTTTCATATTTTCCACATATGCATGTATGCACCTACTTATTATTGGTTTCATTAGCCGTTACCTTAACGGCAACAGTTGATAACATTTAATGTTGTGTTTTTTTAATAAAATGTTGGTCTTGTTAACCAATGTACTTAAAGGACACTGGTTAAAAGGTTTTATTTGAAATCATATGGAAGCACCATTCTTCGTATTCTAATGAAAAGTTTTCTTCTTTAATTCCTTAATTTCTCGGTACTCATAAAGAACCTTTTTCTTTCATTTCTTTAACCAAGGTTAGCATTCTGTCATTTATCACTCTGGTTTCGCTGCTGCAACTGAAAAAAAGAGAGGCTGAGATTTAGATTCAGATTCAAACTCTCTTCATCAAATCCAACCTCTCCTTCCTCTTGCAAAAAAAAAATATCTAGAAGATGTTCAACCCTGAATCTTTGAGCTCAATCCGTCCGAACCTATGTTTCTCTCCCAGAAAACTCTCATCTAATCCAGTTGAAACCTGAAATTGAAAATGAATAAGCTGCTAACTTAGTTCTTGAATTTTTCATTACTAACCAAAATGCTCTTTAACGAATAAAATATGGTTTTTGATATCATTAGAAAGGAAATTTACGTCTTCACTTTAATATAATCAATACTCATTTAGGTTCTTAAAATTAGCATTAACGATCTTGATATCAATTTAGTTCGAATCATCTGTTAAGGAAGAACTTGACTTATAAAAAAATTTGTACTTTTTATACTTAATATAAGACAATTTAGAAGAAATTGAAGAGATTTTATAAGATGCTTTATAATTTTTGTAAAGTATTTTTAAAAGGTTCTTTGTGTGTTGTACTAAATATTAGGAAGATATATTAATAAATAATAACAAAAATATTTAAAAGTTACTAATAATGAAAGTAAATTGCTAGTACTGTTTTAAAAATTCAATTAGAGGATTGGAAGAAGTAATGACTTTTTAGGTTATGTTTGAAAGCTAGGTTTTAGAAAGAAAGAAAGAAAGAGAGAAATGAAAAAAAAAGTACTTATTTTAATCAATAATGTAAAATTTACTTCTAAATATAAAAATATTATATACTACAAGTGAAGTTAATGTACGTTTCTTTGTTTATTTCCAGAAGTATATTATTATGTATCTCTTTTAATTTAAAAGTAAAGTATTTAACGAAAAAAAATATTTATTTTCCTTTTTTTTTGGGACCTAATTATTAACTTAGAAATTTATAAATAGCATGTACTAAAATTACGTTAAAATCATATTAAAATTTGAGTTTATTCTTTACGTATTGCTTGAAATTTACATAAGACATATTATGATGATTGACTTTTAAAGTATCAATATATATATATATATATATATATATATATATATATATATATATATATATTGTGATTAAATAAAAAAATTTATATTATCAACATGTGTTATTTTCTTTTTAAAATATATGTAAGAAGTATAATATAATACATTTTAACAAAAAAAAATAGTGTCCTAAAATTTATATTTTTAGTCTGTATAAATGAAATATGTTCTAATTCTGGTTTCTATTTTTTTATCTCTCTAGAAATAAAAAATATTATTTTGAGTTCTCATGAAATAAACAAATTTTGATTTTATATGCTCACATAATATCAGTATACGATACTAGTAGATAGATGTCATGAAGGAGATTGCAATTGTTGCAGTTGTTATCACTGCCACGCTGCAATAAAAGCCATGTCGATGATTAAGCCCTTTAAAGATAGAAGTAAATGAAGTTTAAAATCATGGTTCTAGAAATGGAGAGCGAAATGAAAAAAAATGCAATAAAAGTTACGAAGGAACCGGAAAATTTTGGGGAAAAAAGTCAGAGTAGGAGTGAGTGAGGAAGTTTTGATAAAACAGGGAGCATTAACTCTGATTCTTCACAAAAAAAAATGAGTACGTAATGCTAGAAAGAGACTAATGAAGGTGTGGTCTAAGGTTTCTTCATTGGTGCAGAATCAGACATCCACGTTCCATGCTACAAGCTTCTTATCAAGCACCCCAGACAACTACCTTCTCACTAAGTGCATTGCTCTTTTGCAATCTTGTGCCTCTTCCAAACACAAGCTAAGGCAAATCCATGCATTTTCCATTAGGCATGGTGTTTCACTGCACCACCCTGACATGGCCAAGCATCTTATCTTCACTATTGTGTCCCTCTCTGAACCCATGTCCTATGCTTACAATGTATTCACCATGATACATAACCCTAACGTCTTCACGTGGAACACCATGATCAGGGGCTATGCTGAAAGTCAAAATCCGAACCCTGCACTTCATTTCTATCGCCAAATGATAGTGTCTCGTGTAGAACCTGACACACATACTTATCCTTTTCTTTTGAAGGCTATTTCCAAGTCATTGAATGTTAGAGAGGGGGAGGCAATACATTCAGTCACGATAAGAAATGGGTTTGAGTCGCTGGTTTTTGTTCAGAACAGTTTGCTGCATATATATTCGGCTTGTGGTGACACTGATAGTGCATACAAGGTGTTTGAGTTAATGAAGGAAAGAGACCTCGTTGCTTGGAATTCTGTGATTAATGGGTTTGCTCTAAATGGAAGGCCCAATGAAGCTTTGACTCTCTTTAGGGGAATGAGTGTGGAGGGCGTGGAGCCAGATGGGTTCACTGTGGTTAGCTTGTTTTCTGCTTGTGCTGAGCTTGGAGCTCTTGAGCTAGGACGTAGGGTCCATGTGTACCTGTTGAAGGTCGGGTTAAGAGAAAACTCGTATGTTACTAATTCATTGTTGGATTTGTATGCAAAATGTGGGGCCATCAGGGAGGCCCAACTAGTGTTCAGTGAGATGAGTGAAAGGAATGCAGTTTCTTGGACGTCATTGATTGTTGGCTTGGCTGTTAACGGGTTTGGTGAGGAAGCACTTGAGCTTTTCAAAGAGATGGAGGGACAAAGATTAGTGCCTAGTGAGATCACTTTTGTTGGTGTCTTGTATGCTTGCAGCCATTGCGGGATGTTAGATGAAGGGTTTGAATACTTTAGAAGAATGAAAGAGGAATATGGTATCATGCCTAGGATAGAACACTATGGCTGCATGGTGGATCTGTTGAGCAGGGCGGGTTTAGTGAAACAAGCATATGAGTATATTCAGAACATGCCAGTGAAGCCAAATGCAGTTATTTGGAGGACCTTATTAGGGGCATGTACAATACATGGACATTTGCGTCTGGGAGAGATAGCAAGATCCCACATATTGAAGTTAGAGCCTAAACATAGTGGGGACTATGTGCTGCTTTCAAATCTTTATGCCTCTGAACGACGTTGGTCTGATGTACAAGTAGTAAGGAGGTCAATGCTAGAGGACGGCGTTAAGAAAACTCCTGGTTATAGTCTCGTTGAGTTGGGTAACCGTGTTTATGAATTTACTATGGGAGATAGGTCTCATCCTCAAAGTCAAGATGTATATGCACTACTAGAGAAGATTACAGAATTGTTGAAGCTAGAAGGTTATGTTCCTCATACTGCAAATGTGCTTGCAGACATAGAGGAAGAGGAGAAGGAACAGGCATTGTCTTATCATAGTGAAAAAGTTGCTGTTGCTTTTATGCTCTTAAATACAGCGCCCGGGTCTCCAATCAGGGTTGTGAAGAATTTAAGAGTTTGTGCAGATTGTCATATGGCCATCAAACTCGTATCAAAGATTTATGATAGAGAGATAGTTATCAGGGATCGCAGTAGGTTTCACCATTTTAGAGGCGGTTCATGTTCCTGTAAAGATTACTGGTAATATGGTAATCATAAGGATTTGATTATGACATCGTGAGAGTAAAGTGCTCCATTGATTGCCAAGTACAATTTGGTGCTTTCAAATAGAGGCCATGAGACAATTTGGTGCTTTCAAATTAGAGGCCATGAGACAATTGAATATGTTGTTGTTATCCTTCTCAGTTATACCCATACCCTCTGGATTAACTTCAGTATTACTGATTCCATATCAGAATTTTGAAAACTCGTTTGATGTGGCCAAATATCATGGAGATGAATAAAATGAGGAGAATTCTACATTTGTATCTGCATTTACTACTTTGGATAATTTGGTTCCTCCACCTCCCTATCATCCAGGTCTCTCACTCTCTTCTTTATACCATTCACTGTTATTAATGAACTCATAATATTTGTGCGTACTGATTTGTTGCTTCTTGTGGGAGCAGCGTCCTCCCTTTTTCTGCTTCTGAATGGGAGTTCCTTCCGCTGCTCAACAATCCTCAAGCTTTCCATTCGTGCTTCGTTATCTCCGGTGTTTTGTTGAAGCTTCTGCCGCATCCGTTTAAGTATGGCGTCGCCACCACGAGATTGTTAGGGGAGCAGATAACCTCTTAACGGCAATAGTCAAAGAATAAAAAAATTCTACAGGAAAAATGTGTAGATAACATTTAATGTTGTTTTTTTATAAAATGTTGGTCTTTTTAACCCATGTACACTGGTTAATTTTATTTTATTGTTTGAAATTATATGAAAGCGCATATCTCCATATGCTAATGAAAAACTTTCTTCTTTTAGTTCTTTAACCAATACTCGCTGAGGTTTAGATTCTCAGATTCAAACGCTCTCCACTTTAACCTTTATGCTTTAATAAATTATTTTCGGATATTATTTATGTTTTGAGTTTAACCTTATTTATGCTTGTTGATTTTTTTAATATTACTCAATGCTTTTTACGTACAATTATATACTTTTTATATTGCCATTTAATAGATTATATTTTACATATTATTTTAATTTCAATTTTGAGTTGAAGATTGACTCATGTCTGTTAATGTTTTATAACCATGTTTTATTTCATTATGTTACCGTTTTTAATTTTCAGATTGATTAATGTTTCAATTCTGGGTTTTATAAAGAGGAAACTTAATATGTGATCATTTTATTTATTTATTTTTATGAGAAAACATACTCTCCCAAGTTTATGCTCATGAAAAAAAAAAAAAACAAATCACTTATTAAACTTATAAGTCAATAATAGAGTTTGATTGAATGGATGAGTAACTAGAGTATATAATGATTATTTGACATGACCACCCAGCCATCTTAATCAGTGAAAACTATGATCCATTTGTCAAGTAATCGTCCTTTAGTCAAAGTGATATTCAAGTGCTCTAATCATAATCAACTTTTCCAATCCAATCCTCACACTTAATAGAACTTAACAGCAAGTTGTGATACCTTATCTGTCTATCTATCTATTTTCTCATGATTCAATACCACACCATAATTTACACCCAAAGTAATGTCCCTTTTGGCCATTTTCCCTTCCTACTTATGAAAACGAAACTAATCAAACCCAAACCTACCACATAAAACGAAATCATTTATCACAAACCAGCCACACGAACCCAACGGGGGAGATGGCTCAAACTATAATCATAGGAACTGAAAAATCCTCATCCAACCGGTGCCATCCACGTGTCCCTCTATCACACTAAGCAAAAGCAACATGCTCATTCCACATGTTCCTTCAACTGTCGGCAAGCTTAGCTGTCACTACACACTAGCTAACTCACCCCTACACGTGGCATGCCTCTCATTGGTCCAACATTCTCCCCTCATGCTATCGTTTCTTCCCATTGTTATGACTCTCATTTTATATTTTGGCAAATCTAAAAAATCTTTATATTTCTATAACAAATATTATGAATAATTTTTTTTTAAGTTTTAAAAATGTTGATATGTTATGCATGTACGAAACAGCAACATTTTCCTCTGTTAGAAATTTAATGATATATTAAATTATATAAAAATGACTTAATTAAAAAAATTGAGAGATAAATGTGTAATTAGATTTTTTAGAGTGCATGGAGACCAAAAGTTAATTTAAATAGAAGCATTTTAAAATTTTTATTATTATGTTAATGCTAACATTGATTTATTGATAGTACAAGCATTATTTTTTAAATTAACGATAAAAAAAAATAACGCCCTCAGTTAAATGAATTAATTGAATACACATGAGTGAGAACTGACGCAATAATTTATCTTTTCCTTCCTCGCCTGGTACCATATAAAATCCCCACACCTGCAACCATTACAACCTATTTTCTGTGTCGGCAAAGGTACACAGTTTTTCAACAAGTTCGTCACGCGTTAGATATTTTCTCTCATTTTCTCAGGAAAAAACACTCTCCACCAGTGTTGTTTTATTTTCCCGGGAAAAACTGAGTTCAAAATGATGAAGAAGAAACCGAGCGCGAGAGAGAATTCGTCGCCGTCATCGTCGACAGCGAGAGAAGAAGAGACGGAGTGGGAAATGAGACCCGGAGGAATGTTGGTACAGAAAAGGACTGCGCAAACGGATGCTCCAACACGCAATTTGCGTCTTCGAATCGCGTACGGGGCTCTCCGTTACGAGATCTGCGTCAGTTCCACGGCCACTTTCGGTAAGACAAGTTCTGGATCTCAACTAACTACCATTGTTAATTCACTTCTGCTCTGTTTGGTTACTGAGAAAATTACTATTCTGAAGAGTAATGCTGTTGAAATTGAGTTAGGTAGCTGTTTCAATGCAGCACTGTCAATCTATCGTTGCTGATACTAGGTACCCACGTAACATGGCATTGTTTGCCAGTTTTTTTTTAAATAGTTTCTGTTTATTATCAATTTTTGATGTTGCATAAACAATATATGATGTTAATATAAATTTCAAACAGTTCTATTGTCTTTGAAGAATAATGTAAAAAATAATATAACTTAACTGATAATATTTAGATACGAAGAATAATAAAAGTAACATTGAATAATTAAATTTAAAGATTTAAAGAAAATAACTATAATATGTAATTTTACATTTTAGTTTTATGGCCTTCAAATTATAATAGATACATACATACATCCATTATTTATTTATTTTTTAAAACTATATTTGGTAAATTTTAATAAATTATTAGTTTAAGAATCTTTACATTAATAATTCCTACAAAAATGAAGCACTTTTAGGAAACCAAAACTTGAGATGACGATGATGATGATATTGGATGTTTGTGGAATGATCGTGTGGAGATTGGTCTGATTTGGTGATGATTGAAATAGTTTTAAGAGAAATTTGGCCTGGTTGTAATGGAAGTGGGATAAAGTAAAGTATGAAAATGACATGACATGACAGGGGAAGTGAAGAAGGTGCTGAGTGGAGAAACGGGGTTACAGGTGGATGAACAGAGAGTGGTGTACAGAGGCAGAGAGCGACAAAATGGAGAGTATTTGGACGCGTGCGGAGTGAAAGACAGATCAAAAGTGGTGCTAATCCAAGACCCTTCCAGCATCGAGCGACGCTTCATCCAGATGCGTATCAACGCTAAGATCCAAAACGCACATCGCGCAATCAACAATATTGCTCTCCAGATTGATCAGCTCGCAGACCAGGTATTAATCTTTTCCACACTCAACAATTTTCATATACCTTCACAATACTTCAATGTATCAAACTATAAAATACTAGTTACTGTAAAAATAATAAAGTTAGAATTTTTTTTTTTTGCACTGAAGCGATGTGGGTAGTTTCAGTTCAGATGAGAAGAAAGAAGGGGAGTGAGAAAAAAAGAAGAAGAAAAATAATAGTTTGGTGGAGTGTTAAGTTTGGAAAAGGATACTGAATAATAAAAAAAAAGTTTATTTTCTTTCAACCAATTTATCTTTATTTTTGCTCTCTTTTTTATTTATTTTAAATATGTGAAACGGATTATTAGGGTTTACTTAATGCTTGGTCAATGAGTGCATTGCATGGCAGTTTTCCTTGGTGGGCGGTGGGTTATTGTCATGACTAGGGATAAATTGTCTTTGTCACAACAGCTGGAACTGGAATGAAGTGGGTCAGAGCCAGAGGGTGTTTTGTATTTTAGCATGCTGGCAAATGAACAAACATATAAACCTCATAGTAATAATAATAATCGTAACCTCACCTCCAAGCTCACTGCTACATGGACCAAGTTTATAGTAGACATTATCTTGAATATGACAACAGATTGTGTCGTTATGGGGCGTCTGAAATTTCAATTTTTTTGATAAATATATCTGTGTGATAATTGGACAAAGGTCGAGCGTCAAACATGTCTGGTTGATTTTTCTGGATATGTGGATATGTATTTTGAGATTGAGCTGTTATCTGAGAAATTCTTGTCAAATCTTTTGTCCCAAAGTGTGCAGTTGGCAATGAGGTGTAAGTTAATGATTTCGTGTAAAATTTGAAGCATCATCAATTTAATCTCAGTGTTTACACACTAAGTCAATGAATATTGCATAATTTGGTATCTGAGTGGATTATGAACTTAAAATAATGTATTAATGTGTACACATGCCCGAAATTATGTTCCAACATAACATTGTCTTTCGAATACAGGTCTCTGCCATTGAAAAGTCTATTTCCAACGGAGTCAATGTGCCGGAAGTTCAAATTACAACACTAATTGAGATGCTTATGAGACAAGCTATCAAATTAGAAAGCATTACTGCAGAAGGCGATGCTTCTGCCCAGAAAAATTTGCAGGTACTTTCAATATAACTCCACTTTGCTGTCAAATTATACTTGTTGTGTCAGTTCTTTGATCTTATAATAAAATTAGAAGATAAAACTTAAATATAGCTAGCACCATAGTTACGGTTGATATTGTTTTCTAGTCATATTTAGAATTTGATCAAAATGAAAGGGAGAATAATTACATTTTTTCTCCTGAATTGGTAAATGACAAGGAATAATGTATGATTACTTTTTCAGGGAAAGAGGGTGCAAAAATGTGTAGAGACCTTGGATGAACTTAAGGTATCTAATGCAAGAATAAAGCCTGTTGTTGTTACAACCAAGTGGGAGACCTTTGACCATCCTCCGTCCTCCACCACGTGGGAGTTATTCGATTGAGTTTGCTCCTCCCTCCTCCACCCCATTCTTTCTCCATTTTCTTCTCCTATGTCTATACTCACAACCTTCTTATTTCGGAACTCTCTCAATAAGTCTTGCTGCCTCTGTAATAGCTACCTAAGTTTTTCTCCAGATTTCTTCTTCAAAAATGCCAATTCGAATAGAAGTCGCAAATGTTAATACACCCATAATTATTATTTGATAGCTAAATTTATTAGTCGTTTCTTTCGGGTTTGTATTTCTGATCCCATGCTATTAATTTATCATTAACTATTTTAATTAACACTTTAAATGCATTAATAAGTTATGTTTGAAAAATTCGATAAAGTCAACTAAATTCATAACTTGATGGGTTTGTATGTAAATATGTTGAGAATAGGAGGAAGTTATAACTTTTAGGCTGTGTTTTAAAGAGAGAGATGCAAATTACTCATTTTTCATAAATATTTTTTTTATTTTTCTTGTGAATGAAAATAATTTATATGTTAAAATGAAGTTAACGTACATTTAATGGTCTATTTTCACGAGTAGGGTTACGTGTGTTTTTTAATTTAGAAGTAAAATATTTGTGCAATAAAAAAGCATGTGTTTTCCTTTCTTTTTGTGACCTAACACTACTAGAAAATATACTTTCAACGTCGCCGTTTAACGTCGGTTACATCTTAGCTGACGTTGAACATGCTTTCAACGTCGGTTGGTCAAAAACCGACGTCGAAAGTCGAATTTTGACACATTCTACGTCGTTTTAGCATGCCCGACGTGGAAAGTAGGCTTTCAACGTCGGTTATACCCTAACCCGATGTTGAAAACCCTTCTGAACTCATTATGACCGATCAGAATACAAATATGACCGATCAGAATCTGATGTGATCGATCAGATTTTAATTATGAGCGATCAGAAGATTTTCAATCGATTAAAAACACGTTTCAATCGATTAAAATCTCTTAAAGTGTCAGGAATCTACGTCAAGTTGGCTTTCAACGTCGGTTATGCCCTAACCCGACGTTGAAAACCCTTCTGAACTCATTATGACCGATCAGATTACAAATATGACCGATCAGAATCAAATGTGATCGATCAGATTTTAATTATGAGCGATCAGATCGAAGTTTTTCAATCGATTAAAAACATGTTTCAATCGATTAAAATCTCTTACAGAGTCAGGATGATCGATCATAATCCAGGTTATGACCGATCGGAACTATTTTAATCGATTGAATCTTGTTTCAATCGATTGAAATATATGATTGGAGATAAAACGAGTTTCAACGTCAGGTGTGGGTATAACCGACGTCGAAACCCCGTTTTCCCATTAATAGGCTACCATTTTTGTATCTCCCCTTACTCTCCAACATCGCGCCCACTCCCCTTACTCTCCGAGCATCGCGACCACCACCTACCACCGTGATTTGGACTCTCCGGACGCCCTCCCTCACGTCGCCACCGCGCACCGCGTGACACCCCGCTGCGAGCACCTCCACCCCACTGCAGCTTCCACCCCACCGCGACGCTAGTCGCCCACCGCGACGCTAGTCGCCACCCTCCACCGCGACGCTAGCGGCCTCCACCCACATTGCATTGCATCCTAACGCCACCACCCCATTGCATTGCATTGCGGCCTCCAACCACATTGCATTGTCCGCTCACCACACCCTCGACCCTAACGCCGCATTGCATCCTCCACCTCCACCCCGGTGCAGCTGCTCTCGTTTCTACGTGGTGCGAACCTTCATCGTCGCCTTAAACCACGAGTACGATGTTGTTGCACTTATATTTGTTGGGCAAAGTCATACAATTTTACTTACTACATTTCATAGGTAGAGATTGTTAGTCATTTGCTAGTTAGCTGTTGATTCAATTCTTAGTCATATTATAGTTTTTTTCAATGTATTGATGATGTGTACAATTATACTTGAACTGCTTGAATATGCCAGTGGGGCTTTTTATTGTCAGGTTTCACTGTGTCATTTAAAATTGTTGCCAAAAAACAAAGGAAACTTCTACGGATTTTTGTTAGAAATTAATCATGAAGTGTGAATTCTGAAAACTACATATAACAATGTAGTTATATAAGTGATGGTAGTAACAATGAAAACTCTATAATTTCAATTTATACAAATTTGGTTTTGACCAAAAAATAGACGAAATTCTGTTGAAATTTCGTTACAAATTAATCTACTTTAGTATAGATTTCATTAGAGATAACGATTCTTAGTAATAATCGTTTTATGGGTTTCTCATTTGTAGACTCCAATTCCAAAATGGATCGAAGTTGGGTAAATACAAGTCGTATTTCACAAGAGTATGAGAATGGAGTTGAAGAATTTTTGCGATTTGCCGAACACAATGGCACCAAGGTTAATGAAAAATTGTATTGTCCATGCGTTAACTGCGTTAATGGGAGAGTACACACACTAGAGACAATACGGGAACATCTTTTATGTGATGGGATAATGAAGAATTATATCCTATGGACATGGCATGGTGAAGTGATTGATACACCAATAGTAACACAAGCTGAGGAAGAGGAGGATATGACAATGGAAGATCGAATAGAAGACATGATTCGTGATGTAGGTCAAGAGAATTTTCTGCAAGCACATGCTTCATTGTCTATGATAAATTGAAGATAGATTCGGAGATACCTCTGTATGCTTGGATGTACAACATTCACGCGATTGTCGATCTGTATTGAGATTGGTCAATTTGAAGGCCAAATTTGGTTGGAGTGATAAAAGTTTCACTCGAGTTACTAGAAGTTTTGAAAGATATGCTCCCAAGCGATAACACCTTGCCCGATTGTATGTATGAAGCCAAAAAAATACTTTGTCCAATGGGTTTACGATATAAAAAGATACATGCTTGCCCTAATGATTGTGTATTATACGAGAAAGAGTTTGAAAGCCTACATGAGTGTCCAAGATGTGGTGTATCGCGTTACAAATTGAAAGACAAGGATGATAATAGCGAATGTATTGATAGAAAGAGACCTCCTGCAAAAGTTATATGGTATCTTCCAATTATTCCAAGATTGAAGCGATTGTTTGCCAATTGAGAAGATGCCAAGAATATGATATGGCATTCAACCGCACAAAAACGTGATGGATTGCTTCGTCATCCGTACGATTCTCCACAGTGGAAGAAAATTGATCTGCCTATTTCCAAGTTTTGGCGGTGATGCAAGAAATGTTAGACTTGGACTAGCCACGAGACGGCATGAATCCTTTTGGTAACTTAACCAGTAATCACAGACTCATGGCCAGTTCTTTTAGTGATTTACAACCTTCCACAATGGTTGATTTTCAAGCGCAAGTACGTGATGTTATCCATCATGATTGCAGGTCCAAGACAATAGGGTAATGACATAGATGTTTATCTAAGTCCATTAATAGATGACTTAAGGCTATTGTGGGAGGAAGGAGTGGATGTGTTTGATGCATATCAACAGCAGAGCTTCAAGTTACATGCAATGTTATTTTGTACTATCAATGACTTCCAGAGCATATGGAAACTTGAGTGGGTATAGTGTCGAGGGTCATCATGCTTGTCCTATTTGTGAGGAAGATACAAGTTTTCTACAATTGAAGCATGGAAAAAAGACTGTGTATAATAGGCACTGAAAAATTTCTTCCACATAACCACCCATATCGAAGATTGAAGAAAGCTTTTAATGGTCGGCAGGAAGATAAAATTGCCAAACAACCTTTAACTGGTGAACAAGTTTATGAACGGGTTAGAAACATTAATGTTGTCTTTGGAAAGACTAAAAAGCAGTCGTCGATAAAAGGTTGTGGAAAAAGAGATCAATTTTCTTTAACCTTCCATATTGGAGTCATCTAGATGTGAGACATTGCATTGATTTTATGCATGTGGAGAAGAACGTATTTGATAGTCTCATTGGCACACTATTGAACATTAAAGGAAAAACAAAGGATGGAGTCAAAGCTCGTCAAGATCTATGTGAATTGGGAATACGTCCGTAATTACATCCAAGACACGAAGGCAAGAGAACATATTTACCACCAGCTTGTCACACATTGTCAAAGAAGGAGAAGACTAGTTTATGTCGGTGTCTTCACGAGTATTAAAGTGCCACAAGGATACTCTTCAAATATTAAGAGTCTTGTGTCCATGAAAGATCTGAAGCTAGTTGGGTTAAAGTCGCATGATTGTCACGTTTTGATGCAACAACTCTTACCCGTAGCTATACGTGACATATTGCCAAAGAATCTACGACATGCAATTATGCGTCTTTGTTTCTTCTTCAATGCTATATGTGCCAAAGTAGTTGATGAAAAATCATTGGAGCGAGTTGGAAAATGAAGATGTGGTTATATTATGTCGATTGGAGATGTATTTTCCTCCATCATTTTTTGACATTATGGTGCACTTAATAGTTCATCTTGTAAGAGAGATAAGATTGTGTGGTCCGATTTATTTGAGGTGGATGTACCCAATTGAGCGATGTATGAAGATCTTTAAAGGGTATACAAAGAATCCATATAGACACTGAAGCTTCTATTGTTCAAAGGTATATTGCAGAAGAAGCTATAGAATTTTGTTCCGAATATTTAGGAAAGGCCCTAGCAGTGGGTGTACCTACTCAACGACATGATCATAGAATAAATGGTAAGGGCACTCGTGGGGTCAAAATACAATCCAAAAATGCTAGTGAGTTGACCAGGGCACACTTGTATATTCTAAACAACACGAGATGAAGTTCTTCCTTACATATCTGCTCATCAATCAATATTGAAGACCCTCAACCCCAAAATGAGTGAGCGGTGGTTGGTTAATGAACATAATAATACTTTTGTTAGCTGGTTTAAAACAAAAATCTTTTCCGAGGACAATGCATCCGATACTTTGAAATGGCTAGCACATGGTCCTAAACGAACGTCGTGACTTGAGTCGGGTATGACATTAACAAATACTCATTCTACACAAAGTTACAAGATGAAAAAAGTACGGTCCAAAATAGTGGAGTATCTATTGAGGC